TTATTTCATCAAATTACTTTATATACAGTGCTCTTGCTTGTGTTTTGGATCTTGTGCTTAGATGGTAATTCATCATCCATATAGAACAAACTAAGATACGAGATGATTTTTAGTATAATGTGAGATATGTATGGGACCCATTCGTATCAGTTTGCGACCTCAAGCAAGCCAGTCGGCTCGAGCTAGATCTCTATTATCTGCCTCGCGATCACGTCCTCTACAACTTGTGTCTGATTTTTTTCTGGGTGCCGTCATTTTCGTTAATGAAATGTTGCTCTTATCATTGATCTCATTGGTTGGGTGGCTTAAAGGTGGTTAAACAGGAACTTTTGTCAAGACTTTGGGGTTTACATATATCCTTCTATTTCCATGCATCATCTGTGATAATTAATAGGTTCGTTTATCCCGTGTGTGTGTGGGGGAGAGAGTACAGCAATCTGAACACACTACACAACACGACTTGGTAACCCAGGCCACTTGCCAAGGTCATAGAATTGCGGGCACTTCTATTCCCAATGTGGATTGTCACTAAACCTTCCATGATTTTCATTGTCGCTGTGAAATTTGGCTGTACAAGAAGAAACCACCTCTTTTTACAAACACAGGTTTGTGTAATACTGCCTCTGATCCTTAATATAAGATTTTGTTTAATTTTAATTTTAGTCCTAAATATAATATCCCAATCAACTTTGTCTCTCATATTTATATATATTTTTTAAAGTAGTTCTTCTAATAATAGTAGTTTTAACTAATACACTTAATTAGCAATGATATTTTAGAAAAAACAACACTTATTTATTACAGATAACTAACTTAACTTCTTTTCTTAAGCTCTTCAAATTAGTCAAGTAGCTCTTATAATTAGGACAGAAGGTAGTACTTATGGTAATATATTTTTTAGAAAAAAATACTTATATCTCAGCATTTTAAATAAGACGTGTAAAATGATTAAATTGGCATAACAAAAATAAGTTGCATAAAATCCAATAAATTAAAACAAGCGAATAAAAATTCAAGGAATCTAAAAATTACTATATATGATCCTTAATATAAGTCCTAGTTGACAATTTGGAAGATTAAGAAAATTAGTTAAGTTAGTTATTTGTAATAAATAGGTGTTGCATTATTCCCAATCGTGTATATTAGCTACAGTATCATTTAATGGAACTTTTAACGTGTGTAATTATTATAAGTATTACTTTGAAAAAAATAAATAAATATGAAAAATTTAGGTATTTAGAAGCGAATTTAAAATCAAACAAGCTTTTATACTAAGGACCGGAAGTATGTAACACATGGAAACTGAAAAAACCACACCATTCATATAAGCTTATACACGATGCAGCTTCCTGTATGATATATGTCGTGTTCATATATTATATTGACGTGTGAATTGAGAGTTCATTGAACCAAGCATGTGGATTAAAGTTAGGCATTCCTTGAAAAGTTTTTCCATTTTCAATTTAATTATGTAAATCTTGTTACGCGTATATCGCTTAACTCTGTAAAGTTTATTTTGCAATGAAAATTATGCATTTCATGCAAAAAAAAGTTATGATTTTGACCTTTTGAGGCAAATACCGACCAGCGTATGCGCGTGTCGTAACAGAAAGGTCACGCTGGGTTTTGGATTGAAAAATTAAGATAGTGGGCCTCATACAGATGGGCGCCAGTATAGGCCCAATTCCACTTTGACTTATAAGAGAGGCCCAGTCAGCGGGGCTGGTGAGAATGGGCATCGCCCACGGGCCTCTCTCAAAGGGAAAATTCATCACGGGACAAATTTACTAATCAATGCCACATGTGTACCTGGCCCTACCTCCATTTTTTTCCTAAGACATAATTCACTGAATTGTGCTGTTTGGAATGTTAGTTAAAATTAGTTGAAGATAATAAATATATAAAAAAATGTAATATTTTGACTAAAAATATCCTCATTTATGTGGAGGAGAAAGAATATGTAGTGAAAAGAGAACGTGTGAAAATTAAATATAATGATATGAGTCATCAAATGAGGTAAAATGAAAATTTGACACGCCATCTAAATGTCATTTACAAAAATTAACTGAGGGAGTAGTTGCTAGTTGAGCTATTCACTGCATAACCATAACTGGTCACTTGATGGTGATTCACAACTGCTTTTCGTCGATAACTTTTTTATTAATTTAAGAATTTCTGTATAGCTAATACATAATTAATTCTGATAACGCAATTGTTAATTGAAGGATTTTACTAACAATTATCAGTCAGGATGATGACATATTGATAATTTTGACAATTGCGTTCAAGAATTGTTATGCGAATACATCTTGAAAGTGATTTGCCCTTAGTATCTATTAGTAATTCCTAGCTGTTGTGTGTTTCAAAGAGATGCTGTCGATATTATTAAATCCAATCACTAACTCAAAATAAAGAAGAGTATAAGGCAGACAAGAAACTTGTACTGCACCTAATTTTTCTCACTACCTCTCCACCTCCTGATAGAAGAACGAAGATTGATGAAGGATAAAAAATTATTATCAAGACCACGAGACGCCTTCCCTGACTCCAACCACCATAAAAAGAACACATTAGATTAATATTACTTCCGATTTTTAATATAAAAGCAGTATAACTAATTTTAAAAAATTAAGATAATTAATTAGATTATTTATTTATAACAAATATGTGCGAAGTAACTCTTATATATAGGATTTGAGTTAATATATCAGATGGTCTCATAATTAATCTTCTACTAACCATGATGTTACGATGCTCAGTTATGAATTGCATTAATTCTCGTTTTCCCCCTGCAGATTGATTTTGTGTATCGTTACTCGACTTACTATTATTCATTCATGCTCAACTTGCCACTATAATTTAAATTTTAACGCAGGAAGTTTGAATTATATTATAGCTGTTCAGAAACACGATATTTTAGTTAATTGGTCGATGAAAGGAAGGAAGGAAGGAAGGAAGAAGCCCACGTCTTGGACCATATATTGTTGGGCATCAAGACACGCAAAGACAGATGACTGGTTATTATTAAAATGAGGGTCAAGTCAGCATTCAGAGCTGAACAGAAATTTATAATATTACAAGCAAGCATATATATTAATTATATAGCATGCTCTCACTGATGATGTACTCCTCCGATCCTTATTATAAGACTCAATTTAACTTTTTATTTGGTCCTAATTATAAGACCCAAATCCATTTTATCTCTTATATTTATGTATTTTTTTCCAAGATAATCCTTCTAATAATGATAGTTTTAGCCAATATACTTAATTAGCAAGGATATTTTAGGAATGACAACACTTATTTATTATAAATAACCAACTTAACTTACTTCCTTAATCTCCTCAAATAAGTCAATTGGGTCTTATAATTAGGACCGGAGGAGTATCACGGAATATTGGGATCCTCTGATATCTGCGAAGCTTCTTTTTGTCTGACTTTTCCTTGCCTCTTCTATGAATATGATTAGGCCGCCCTTTAACCAGATCACGGTGTTGTTTTTCATACACTTTAACCAGATTGACCAAAAGGCACCTCAGGTCTCAGGAATGATGGTCTCCCAGACTTGCCGCCGGCAGCACGTAGCTAGCCACGGGAGATTTGTACAACACAGTACTACATGTCAATGGAAAGTTCCGATTCTGGATGTCCCGTAAAACATGTGAAGGTGGTGTGGCCACATAATTATTGGAATTAATGTTCTCTTACGGTGAGAGAGTATAAGAGCATTCAGTGATTATGAATCCTTGCACGTGATAACTTTTTCGGGTTGTTGGCCCTCCCCCTAATACAATTTTAATTAAACCTTTCAAAAATTCCATCAGCTTGGCTGGGGCAGTAGACTCGCGCGCAAGCTTTTTCTCCCCCTCCTTTAATAAAAAGCATCGAAGTTTGTCGCTGGAACTCCTAATTCAAGTCTATGTCTTTCTCACATCAAATCGCGCCATCAAATGTCTTCTTGTCTGGAATTCGCTTTAACCATTTAGGCGGGATGAATTCGTAAAATACTATTTATTGTCCCTGTGTGTGTGTGTGTTTTTTTTTTTGAATTTCTTTATAAGTCACACTATTAACATTTTTACATGAATATACAGCCATCCTTTTTATATTTATCAGTTATGAAAAATAAACCATTAAGGTATACTGTATTTATTATTACATAAACAAGGATATTTGAAAATTCTGCAGTTTTAATTAATGAGACGATTGTTGGTTTGCAGGCGCGGTGATTGGGTCTGAAAATGGGAAACGCCTTTTCCTACTAATTACCAAATTTCCGACCATTTTCGCCACCGCCTTGCTGCTCCGCACTCCACAGATTTCGGTGCTTACGTGGATGCTTACCGTCACCCATATCTCTGTGCTCCCATCGCCCCCCCAAACCACTCAATGAGTATGCTTTTCAAACACAGTAAATTCCAATGTTCACCCTACTTTTTATCTAAATAAATGGTTAACATGCTTTATATAGTACTATTAATTAATATTAAGTCTAATCTTTAATATAAAATCTTGTTTGATTTTTATTTTAATCCTAACTATAAAATTTCAATCTACTTTGCCTCTCATATTTATATATTTTTTTAAGATAGTCCTTCTAATAATGGTAGTTCTAACCAATACATGTGATTAGTAAAAATATTTTAAGAAAGATAACATTTATTTATTACAAATAACTAATTTAACTTATTTTTTTAATCAAATTACCCAATTAACTTTTATAATTAGAATCAGAGAATAATATCCGAATGATTATACGTCAAAATTTCAAGACTTGTTTGGCGGATGATCATGCATGTTGAAGTCATGTCAGCACTGCAATGGGATTTTCAATATTGTAAAATAAGGAAAGAAACACGAAAGAAACACTGCGACTTAAATTATTTTATCTGAGGTTCATGGCTTTTTCTGAATGTAATAAAGGGTTGAATGAAGAGTGCGGCGTAAATTCGTGGACGGGAGACAGTAAAGAGGGAACCCGACAGTAAAAGGTCAGGGGCCACGTGGCGGGAGCACACCCTGTATGACCAGGGAGTGACGTCAGCCATGACCCGATGGAATAGAGGAGAAAAACAGACAAGGTAGACGCCGCCGCACCAAAATCCCCCCTCCTTCCTCTCAGTCCAATTCAATTCAATTCATTATTTGATTCGTTTTCTTTTTCAGTTTTCACCCTCCTTCGTCTCTCCTTCGTCCTCCGTTTATAAGCTCCTCTCCTCACTCTCTCTCCATTCTTCCCCTCCCACTCTCTCATGTGAAGCTCCGCCTCCGCCCTCAATTCTCCGCCATGATCAAGCCCGTCTCTCCCAGTGGACCCCTTCTCTGCTTCTGCCTCCTCTTACCGCTCCTCGTTGCTGCTCAGCCCCCCTCCAATTCTAATAATAATGACCAAACCCAACAGCTCAATAACCTCACCCCTTCCATGGCCATCATCATCGTCATCTTGATCGCCGCTCTTTTTCTCATGGGCTTCTTCTCCATCTACATCCGCCACTGCGCTGATTCTCCCTCCGGCAGCGTTCGTCCCCTCGGTCTCCGTGCTTCCATCGGTCGTTCCAGGCGTGCTCCTCGCGGTCTCGACCCTCTCGTCATCCAGACCTTTCCCACTCTCCAGTATTCTCATGTTAAGATTCACAAGATCGGCAAAGGCGCCCTCGAATGCGCCGTCTGCTTGTCCGAGTTCGAGGACACCGAAACCCTGCGTTTGATCCCCAAGTGCGATCATGTCTTCCACCCTGAGTGCATCGATGAGTGGTTGGCTTCTCATACCACCTGCCCCGTCTGTCGCGCCGACCTTGTTCCTCAGCCTGACCAGTCACTCCGCGGAGTTCAGAACGTCAATCCGGACGCCGCGGACCTTGAAGCTCAGAACGAGGACGTGGAACCCGAACCCGAACACGGGCAACAACGTACTGCGGATCCTGATCCAGAACCAGTGGAGCCCGAAATTCTGTGCCTCAATCAGTCGATGAAACGGAACCGCACGCGAGGGTCTCGATCGGGTAGGGCGCGGAGGTTTCCCCGGTCGCACTCGACCGGGCATTCTTTGGTCCAGCCTGGTGAAGACACGGAACGTTTCACTCTGAGATTGCCCGTGGAAGTGAGGAATCAGATATTGAACCGGGAATTGCATCGAGCGACAAGCATGGTTGTCTTGCCCAGAGAAGGTAGTTCCAGACGGGGCTATCGAATTAGTGGTGATGGCAGCAGCAGAGGGAGGTTTTCGAGGCGGCTGAACCGCAGTGTTAAATCGGACCGATGGGTTTTCACGATGGCGCCGCCGTTTCTTGTAAGGGCGTCGTCTATCAGATCGCCGAAAGTGGGAGGGAGCGCCGGTGAAGGAACCTCCGCTCAATTCGTCCTTCCGGCGGCGACCGATGCGGCCCGGCCCCCGGTTTAACTATTCCTTTGCTTCTAAACTTACTCAACATTTTCTTCATATCTCTCTTGTAGTCAACCCAATTTTTTTTTTTTGGTTATAATCTGCAGCCATTTTGTGGTAGCTCAAGATGTATAGAATGTGGATAAGAATATATATATATACTCTTCCGGTTTTAATTATAAAACCCAATTGACTTATTTGAGGAGATTAAGGAAGTAAGTTAATTTGGTTATTTATAATAAATAAGTGTTATCATTCGTAAAATATCCTTGCTAATTAAGTATATTGGCTAAAATTATCATTATTAGAAGGATTATCTGGGAAAAAAATACATAAATATAAGAAACAAAATGGACTGGGGTCTTATAATTAGAACCAAATAAAAAGTTAAATGGAGTCTTATAATAAAGATCGGAGGGGTATATTGTTATGCAAAGAATGACAACAGTATAATCTCATTTGATATCAAAATTGGGCACCAAAGCCAAATCTCGTGAACCGAAGGAAATGTTCTGTTCCCACATGGATAGGCGAAACCATTATAGGCCGCCTGGCGGACGGAGAATAAAAAACGGGACGGGGGAGAGAGAGGTGGGACGTGGTGGGCCTGAAGTTTGAAGGGTGTGCTTTTGGAAGATGCGGTAGTTATTTATTGTCAATTGTTGACTATATCTCGCCCCTTCTAGATGATTTGAATTTGAGATGGAGCCATTGCAGGTTCTCATGGGAGCATAAAATGGCACATGATTACTAATCAGCAAGCTTGATTTGAGTTGTGAATGTGCTGTTACTGTTAAGAATAATGATTGTGCCTTTTTATTTAATTATCATGACCAGACGAGCATATAGTAATAAATTATATGATTCCTTTTATATTTGATAATAATAAAGAATAGGAAGGTGGGGACGGGGAAGCGGAACCTGATGGGTGGGTTGGCATTTGGCAGTGGCATTGGCAGATAGGGTCCTGAGAAGGAGTGGAGAGGAGGCGTTTGCTTGCTTGTCACGCCAGAACTCTCAGTCGCCTTCCTTGACTCGCGCGTGTTAAAAGCCTCTCCATTTAATTCGCTGCGTATGAAGGTTCCAGAATATTATAGGTTCGCCCACCTACCCTTTCTCGCAAGTCGCAAATTCCCCTTGGGCTTGGCTGCGATATAGTCTGTTCCATTTTCAATTTTTATTTTATTTTCAAATGTATAGAAGTACTATTAATACAAAAAGGAAGATTCTTTTTTGAAAAAAGAATAACATAAACTGAGCAAGAAATCGAGAGCTGAACGTTCTTTGCTGTTTTTGTAACCAAAATTATTTTTTTATTTTTCTTTTTAGCAAAAAAAAACTATTCATTGTATAATTCAATGTTTTGACATCGTCTTCATTCCTCCTTCTTTTGACTCACAGCCTTTTTTTCAGCAACGTTTTATTCGTATTATCTCTTTTTATGAGGTAAGGAATAACCATACATTATTATATAACTTATAAATATAAGTATAGCCAAAAATATAATAATATAAAATACTATCTCTGCTTCTTAATATAAGAGTTAGTTGATTAATTTGAGTAGATTAAGAAAACTAGTTAAATTAGTTATTTGTAATAAACAAGTATTATCTTACTTAGAATATCTTTACCAATCAAGTGTCAAATTAGTTATTATACTAAGCACCAGAGGTAGTATTTGTATAAAGATAAATTATATTAAATTATAAATATTTAAAACAGTGTTTGATTTTGAAAATATTTAAGAGTAAAACGCGCATGAAGCAGACAACGGAGGCATCAGGGCAACCATAACATTTTTTTTTTTTTTGGGGGTGCAGACAGGCAACTGGCAAGAGGCAACCATAACATACATACGAGGATCTGGTTCCCTACCCAACAATTGGGACGCGGGTGTGGATTGGGTCAAGTTTCTCCAGGAAACGCCATAGTCCGTCCGTTTTTATAAATGGGCCAATGGGGATATTCGTTAGGCCCAGAATAGTAAGCGCATGCCCCCGGTCTCTGAATTAAGTCAGGCGCGGAGAAGGTGGCGGCAAGTTGCGGAGGAAGCTGATGGAGAATGGGGGAGAGCGTCAAGGCACAGAAGGAAGCAGTGATGGTAGCAAGAAGAGCCCAGTAATGATCACGATACCATCTTATCAAGAAGTTCTTGAAAGTTCGCAGGCAAGATCCACTCCGCCCTCCCTTTTCGTTCCCTCACAAACCTTTTCCCAGGCTTTTTCGTTCCTCAAATCCTCTGAGTTCTACTCTCCTCCTCCCTCCGCCTCTTATAAGCCTTCGCCCGCTTCTCAGTCTTCTGACTCTAGTGTCCCAAGGTATTCACTACTCATTCCTCTATTCTATTGCTGCTTTCAACTGTTTTCTACTTCTCTTCGCATTGGGGGGGGTGCTTTTTGCGCAATTTTTTTTTTTTGAAGAAATGGGATTCGGTTTATTCGGGTAATAAATTCCTACAGGCTTATGCGTTCTTCGGGTTTCCGCGGCAGAAATGTGATTTCCTGAGCTATCTGGATTTGTAATTGATCAAATAAATTTCTTCCATCTCCGCTACAAGGATGAGAGGATAGCGTTTTTTTCCCCCCCTTCCTCTGTGCTTAGAACCCAAGGAAGCTAGGAACTGCATGGAATCAATTCAATTTAAGTGCCATGAATATTTGCAAATTGCAATTTCGACTCGTTTGCACTCCTTATCGTGTCAGTATGGTGTTAAAAAGTTATAACCTTTGGATTTTACCTTTCCTCCGTTTCTCCATCACTGAAGTTAAGTTTCTTAGTCCATTAATGGTTTGATTAGGGAAACTGGTCAATCAGTCGCTCCATCTTCAACATCTACTTCTGCACCTGTTTCAACATCAACATCCTCCCAACTTACTCCAAGTCGCAATGCAATCCTTGTGAGCCACAGACAGGTAATATATTCTCATTTTCCAAGGGAATTTAGAAAAATTGTTTTTTTCTTAAATCTGCTTATAGATTGTGGGAATCAGTTTGTTCATCTTTTTTTTTTTTTTTGGGGGCCGCGGTCTTATGATATGAACATAGATATGTAATCTAAAAAGCATGTCTTTTCTCTGTTCTAGAAAGGAAATCCATTGCTCAAACATATTAGGAATGTCAGGTGGACATTTGCAGATGTCGTCTGTGACTATTTGCTGGGGCAAAGCTCATGTGCTCTCTATCTCAGGTTCTAGTCTCTGCTTCTCTTGTTAATGTGCTTATTCTCGGCAAGTTACAGTTGATGGTTAATATGTCATTTGTTTATTTGTTGCTGACTTAGAGTCACCAGTGTGGAATGAATACTTGATTACCAAGATATGTTGAGATCTGAAATTCGAAGTCTTGGCTGCCTTTTTATTATAAACGTCAAATTTCCAATAACCTGTTGTCCGGGTGCATCCTATTTATCATTCCTTCCTTTCCAAATCTTGCCGATCTAGTGTATACGTTGTACAATAAATTAATGACCCCTAAAGTGAAATTTAGTAATAATTTTTACACAATACAAATTCTCATAATCGATATCAATATTCTTACCCTGGGATCCGATGAACTGAGTAATCCATGTTGTACAGAACAATTTAAAGAAATCTTTCTTTTAAAAAAAAAAAAAATCTTTTGAAGTATCTTTCTTATAAAACCTTGCTATGTGAAATTTGTTCAAGTTTCTTAGCGTTCTTTGTCAATGCATCTACCTAACTCTAGTGGATGGGTTAATGCAGTCTTCGTTATCATCTCCTCCATCCAGACTACTTGTATTACAGAATAAGGGAGTTGCAGAAGAATTTCAAGCTCCGTGTAGTCCTGTGCCATGTTGATGTGGTCTGGTTCCTTGCTATTTACTTCGCAATTTTGTCTGCCTAATTATCTATTCAGATGTCTAAACATAGTAGATTTGCCTCCTATTTGAGTATGATAGATTATATGTATTATTCCTATTGGTTTTAGGAAGATGTGGTGAAGCCTCTACTTGAAGTAACTAAAACAGCTTTGCTTCATGACTGTACCCTTCTATGTGGATGGAGGTAATATTGACATAGCTTCTAACTTCATATGGAACACGAACGTTTAAAAATTTCATTTCAACTCTTTGAATTCTGAGATTGCTGCTAGAATTTACGACAATCTAAAGAGTATCTCAGCAAACTTTGACTACAGGTACCACATTCCTATTAATGAAAACGTGCGCTTTCATCTTGTTTAAGAACATTAAGTGACCGAACTACAGATGTGTATTATTGTGGCATGCTTATGAATTTTAGCAGCTAGCAGTAGAATTCTTTTGATATGTCTACTTGATTTTAAAACCTTCCATTCTGCTGTTGCTGTAGCTTGGAATAATGTGGTCATCGCTATGATGCCATGCATTTGAATTTTATTGCCTATGGTAGTAGGTAGGAAAATTGCTCTGATCTTGTCTGATTTTATCAAATTTCCCATCTCCTGTGGGTACAGCCTGGAGGAATGTGGTCGTTACCTGGAAACAATAAAAGTTTATGAAAACAAGCCGGCAGACATTATTCAAGGCCAAATGGATACAGACTATCTCTCACGGGTATATTTTTACGGTTTTTGGTTTATAAATCTATTTATAAAATAATAATAGCTAATGATTATTCCGATGGGTGTGAAATCTATTTCAGAATTATACTGAAGCTATCTTACTTTCAACTGTAGCTAACGCATGCCCTTACAACAGTTCGGCATGTTAACAAGACTGATGTAGTTACCCTTGGAACTACATTTGGGGTATGTTTATTTATTTCTTGTACACCGACACAGATTCACATAGATTAATTAATCAATGAAGTGAAATTGTTGTTTTAGTCTCTGTCTCATATTATGGGCGCATCCATGGAAGATCTGGCGCGGTGCCCGGGCATTGGAGAACGCAAGGTATTTTTCTAGTGCTAGAAGTGAGAAAGGATAGGGATTTTCTTTTAATTTTATGGGGCTATGAGTACATTATTTGGTGCCATAGTTCACAATTGCTAGTGGTGTTAGAGAACAATGGCATAATCTATTTTGCTGATATAGAAGCTCTAAATATTATGAACATCTTTTGACATCAGGTCAAGCGCTTGTTTGACACTTTCCATGAACCATTCAAGCGGGCAGAATCTAGCTGGCAAAACGTTCCAGAGACTTGTGCCCAGAATAATGCAGCTAGTCCCAGGACTTCAGCCCAGACCGATGCCGAACCTTCTTCCTTAAATGAAGACAAGCATGAAGATGCAGATAATGTTGGCAAACGAAGGAAGAAAGAAGCTGAATTGACCGTCAAGTCCGCCTTATCTGCAGCTTTCGCCAAATATGCTGACAGAGTTGGGAGAAAAAGCAACCCATCAGAAGGGGAAGAGAGAGGAGAATCATCAGAAGCTGATAAGAGAAAATGATTGTGATTTTCTCAGCGTTTGATTAATATTCATTTATTCCACAGCATGGGCTCTCAAGACTCAGATGATTGATTATTGCCTGTCTAAAGCCAGTGTAGAACTTCTCTTGTGTCTGGGACCAGTCTGGTCTCCACTTGGTTTTATCATACTGTGGCACTTGCTTCCACCTGAACATTAGATTGGGCCTTGCGCAGCTTTGAGCAGTGCAATCGCCAATTGCAGATCAAAATGGTCAATGCTGTCAAATTGCTCAGCGCAATTTAAGAATTGTTTTGTTTTATGCAGTTTGTAGAACATGTCTATAGACAATATGAAATATGAAATTGCACTGATTGTATTTAAAGTTTTCCTTGGAGATGTAAAGCTTTTGACGGAGTGATTAATAGGAGTGGAAAGTAAGACCAGCACAAATAATTGGATATGAGCCGATAGCATTCTAGCTTGTAAATGATAGATCCCAACCACATGGGCCTCGACTATAAGCTCAGTGCAGCCGTAGTGTCTCCATTGTGTTCGATGTTTTATTACTTGCAAAGGGAGGCTATAAATTGTTCTGGGTCATTTATTTTCATCAGCGAGAACTGACTACCGATCGCTGACGCTCAAGGGCATTGGAATTTGACTTTAGGTGATTAACTAAGGCATCTTAGGCCTTGATATGGGATTAAACTCTTGAATCAATGGAAAATTCTTGTAATTTTGCAATATATATGATTCATTTAAAAATAAAACAGAAGAAGTTTGTACTTCCTACATTCTGTATCCACCTACTTTATAACTACCGAAAGGGTAAACTAGTCAAGTGTTCCCCTTCTGTTCTATATATGAAAAAGAATCGTGTGAAATGAAGGTGCAGAATCTGAAGAATTGCAAAGGCATGTGGTTAGATGAATCATATTTTAAGTCGTCAATCATCAGAAAAACCGAGGAATCTATTGATGAGCTTTGCCACAGGTGTGGCATCACCTGGAGAGTAAGGGACGAGAGAGTTCAAATCCATATCAGCTACAGTTTGATGCAGAGTTTGAGGACGTGCACAATACAAATGTTTTCGGTCTGCTAGTTCTTCTGCCAGTTCGCTTTGATGATTGTCCATCAAATCTTCATTCACAACCACAATTAAAGGCTTTCCCAGTCGTAACGCCTCGAATATGCTACCTGACCCTGCATGGACTCAACAGTTACACCCTCCTCCTCGAAAATTCCCAGTCGTAACTTATCCAAGGATTTTCACATGCAACTCTAGTTTAAGGTGGAATGCAACAAACACAACCAATGACCATTGGCGGGACATCTACTTCACCTTATAGATGGAACAATAAAATTGAAGCCGCTGAAACCAAATAGCAACACCATGACTCATACCGTAATTACATGAAAAGTGAAGGACAGAGAAAAAAGATAGACAGAAAGAAAAGAGAAGGAAAAAGGGACCTGCGTGACTGATGACAAGAGAAGCTGAGTTGAGATGATCGGCAATGCTGGAGGAGAAGGTGAAGTAGTCTACAGCCAACGAATTACCTCCTTCCGACTACAAAGAAGTAACTTCTAAGAAATTCAGTAAATGAGAGAAGCATGTAATAAAGCTAATGTCAATACAAATACAATTTAATTTTAAAATTTAGATCTAATTGAGGGGAGTCCTCTCGAAATCCTAACTCATAATTTCTGGGTGATAAACCCATCAATGCATTAACATCTTTCAGTCTTTTCACAAATTTCCAGTGGACATCAAGAAACAAGTCAAAGACATTTGAGGAGCCTCAAGTGGACGCACTCCAAAACTTCGTATTCAAAATATCTCCTAATTTCTAACTTTTGAATTACCATTCACCTCTAGAATGTATTGCATAGGAACACAAACCGTCACTATTTTACATAAATGAGAAGCTAAAAATAGTTCAACTTCACTGGGGAGGCATCGGATGAGCAAGGAATAAAAGGCGGCAAGGGGGAATAAAGGCACTGCAGTGAAGTGTATTTAAGGTTACCTTTGTGGGAACATAAGATCCGCGCCCCATTTGAATCAGGAGGTGGGTGTACCCTTTTGTAAATAACTCTTGCTTGACCGCCGGAGAATCCACCACTTTCACAAGAGCATCAAATGAAGTTGTCCCCACGGTTACAAAAACAACCCTTCTTGTCTCATCATTGCCCACACGATCTGCCATTTAGACTATTTGATCTCTTCTACAAAATGCAGACCTTGCAAAAATATTTTCAATTGAAGCAATCGATGAGGACACTTGCTCCACTTATTCACGAGGCAACCTCCCCTTCTTCCTAAGATCGATCTCTTCCTTCTGTTTCATAGTTCCCCTTGAAGCCCCAAGAATTGAGATTTAGTAGGGAAGCAAATCAAGGATTCATTCCGTCTCGTACGGAATCCGTGAAAGTCACCTTTCTGTCGACAAATTTCTTTGCCTCGCTCGCGCCGCGAACTGAAAGCTGGTGACAAACGCTGCGTTTTTATGTGTTAGGGAAAAGGGGGAGGAAGCGGGATGATGGGGTCAATGTTTTCAAAGCGGAAGTCGAAATTGAAATGAAAATGAAGCAAACAGTGGCAAATACCTCACGGTGGAGAAAACGGCGGGAAAAGTGAGCCCGGATGATTTACGGCGAGGGGGGCTGGACCCGTTGCGGAGAAACCTGATATGACGTAGCAAAACACGGAGCAATCGAACGGTGCAAATTGATCGCTGAACAGCCTGCCGATCTTTTGCAATGGGCATGGCTTCCAGTTTCTTGCCCTTTTAGCTTTGGGTTACACTAGCACCGTTTTTTGTCGAGAAACTCCATGTCCTGGGCTTCTTTTAATGGGCTCAGTTTGATTTTAATGGGCTGAGTTAATTTTTTTATTTTTATTTTTTAGAAACAAAAGTAGCAGTAAAAACGTTATTTACGGGGAAAAAAAAGGAGTAAGTAACAGTAAAGATAACTGAAAAAATATATAAAATCCTAAAATATTTTGTAAATTTTAAGATTAAATGCATCCATAGAAAAGATGGTGGGAACAATGGGAGCAGAGTTTTGTGAGGATAAGTTAAATTAAATTGGGAAGATCATCCCTGGTTAAATTTTCAGTAATAATGAACGGGAATTAAATATTCATAAATGATGATGAGAAAGATATTTGGGAATTATGTTGAAATGGGCTCCGCTTAAGCACAGAGCCTAATCCAACTACTCCATACCTGGTGGGCTGTGGCTCCACTTAGTCGGAGCCACCTGTCCCTCCATTAAAGTCACTTGAAGCACTCTAATTCCAATTCCGCCCACCGCTTGCCATTCTTTCCCTTGCACCTAACTTCCATTATTTGCTTGTTCCCACGTACACCTCCAAGCACCCCCTTTCGTTTTCTTCTCTTTTCCTTTCCCACTTATTTCATTTCACGACCCACTTCTGATTGGACCCTTTCATTACCAATTAAATCATATCTCTCTCTATTTCTTTCTCTGCTCTGCTTTTTTAATCAACCGCCCCACCACTTGCTTCTCTCCGTTAACTTCTCCTCTATCTCCGTTGTATTTTTTTTTTTCATACTTCAACCTGAGAAGCTGTCCCTGTCCTCACGACCTGTCCATTATTTGATAGAGAAAATATAGATCTTCAATCTGATTTTGTTGACATCCTCCTGTCAGGTCATCTTTCCATATGTCAATGGTATCGTTCTCTGACCCTGTTTCGGCTCCTCGCTGAAATCAATACCAATACTTGAAATATCTGTTCAATTATTACTGTTGTTGGCAATTTGCTCGTGGAAAAATCTCTCTGATACTTACAGTATTAGTCGCGGCTAGTTCCTTAATATCATCGAGACTAAAAAAATATGATGAGAATGTTAGTGGAAGCTTCCCTAACCCAGGATTTGCGAATCTTATATTGTGTTTTTTTTAATCATCATGCCTGCGATGAAGAGAGAAAAGAGGGTTGCCCACTAGATGATGAGGCACAGAGAGAAAACGACGGCTAAGATAATTGAAGAACCAAACGCATTATATAGCATGACCTGCCTAGTAATCAGAGTACTGGGGCACTGATAGAGAAAAACAAGAAATTTTAAAAAAGAAAAAGAAGAAAGCGCGCGATTTCATGCACTCGCAGCGAGAGCTGTTTTTGACAGGCTAAGGATTTTTAGGACGGGTGTTCCCTTCCGTGGGAGCTCTTTTGTCACCATTAAGGCATCTTCTTGAACTTATCTTTCCTTTTTAAAATCTTTTTGGAGATGAAAAGGGCACCGCAAAACCTGCATCGAGGTTAGGTTTAGAAAGAAGACAAGCACTGATTTTGGTTGGGAGGTCAGAGTCCAAACTACGAAAAGATGCTGCTCACTCTTCAATCTTGAAGAAGCAGGCTCTATTATTTTATTTTGACCTCTTATGGATGGCCGTATGTGTCAGTACCAGAGATGTGGATTTGAACGGTGCTTCCAGTTGTTCGTCCTCTTCTCACACAAATGTATCCTGGAAATTAACAAATCAATATTTTACTTGACTTTAAACTTGGCGGCAGCTTTGTGAACTATAAAAAGATAGGATCGAAACATTTGGGTCAAATTGCACATTAAGATGGCCCTAGTTAATTATGTCTTTGAGGACATGAACTTCTCAACTAATCATTTCCTAAGTGGGGCCAATGAAGTTGCAGTTTCTGCTTGCACGCTGAGACTATCTGATGCATTCATCTCATAGTTTACTAAATATTTCCCCCCATCGTAACAATCAATCCGCCTATTTGATCCCAAAAGAAAACCTGTCTTCTTCAATACTACAGTGAGGATTTGGGAAGATGGAAGGAAGATTTATATTCAGGGCTAAAATTATCTTAAAGTCACTATTCACATGATACAACTTTATTTTTCGCGCTATATGCATTTGCCTTTTGATATAATACAACTTTATAATTAAAAATATATAAAATTATTTGTCATTCTTTTTTGGGAAAATTCCAGAAAAGGTCCTTGGAATATAGGAAATCCCAGATTGAGTCCTGAAATTTCGAAAATGACAGAAAGGGTCAGTGACCCAATGTGTCATTTGTCAAATCAAGAGAAATTGACAACTTTGCCCTCACTTGTATTCATTCACTACAATGATTTAAGAAATCACTATAAGAGTTTAGGCATTACCTAGATTCGTGTAGCGAATAACTATTCACTTTTTCATATTCAGGTGTCTTGTTATTAACTACAACTAATTTTGTAATCACTAGAACAATATAAGCATTACTTAGATTCGTATAGAGAATAACTACTCATTTTTTCATAGTCAGGTACCTCATTATTGTCAAGTATCTTATTATTAACTATAATAATCTTGTAATCACTAGAACAGTGTAAGCATTACCTAGATTTGTGTAGAGAATAACTACTCACTTTTATTTAGCCAGGGACAAAATTGTCAATTGGTCTTAATTTCACAAATGACAGATTAGGTTACTGACCCCTTCTGTCATTTTCGAAATTCCAAGACCCAATCTGAGATTTTATATATTCCAAGATCCTTTTCTGGAATTTTCCCTTCTTTTTTTTTGCCAAGAAAGTATTCGTCGTTCAATCAAGACAAATTCATAAGTAAAATAAAACCTATTTATTATTATTAGTTTTTAAAATAAAAATTTGTAAATTTTGTCTTAGAATTACACTGTACTAGTGCTGTCGATCAATCATTTCAAGCGGAAGGTAAAATAAAAATTTTTGAGCAAAAAAAGAGGTAATTTTTCATCTGTTGAGATTTGAACGATCTCCCGGTTAAGAAAAACCTGCACGAGTAACTGGGACCAAAACAGAGGGCTATGCGATATGGGCTGAATCATGCAGTCCACATAGCACAGAAATATAAGAAGTCGGCCAGTGCGTTTAATTATTTGTGTCCAACAATAGCATTATTAAGCTGTCAAACACCTTCCCAGCTTGAAGCTTTATAGTGTTGTCCACAACAAATGCATAAAAGGCCACTAAAGCCAACTCACAGGGAAACCTAGTCCTTCTAGCTGGCCAGCTGTTCATAGCCATCTTCCTGCTGCTCTACTTGCAGCTTCAGCAACAACCTCCATCCTTCTCTCTCCTCATCCACCCCTCTGTGTCTGTGGGGAGTGCGTTAAACTAAACGTGAGTAATTTGTGTGGCTTCTGTACGGAAATTGCAGTAAGGGAACAAAGCCAGAAGAGATAAGGTGGTCATGCTTTCCAACCGCCTTTCAGCGCTCTAAAAATATATCTACATCTCCCTCCTCTTCTCTCACACCCCGCAACTTCGCACACTCTCTGTGCCAACCTGCGAGAAGAAGATGAATAAGCAAGACTTGCTCAAAATTCAGGTACAATTTCTCGACTACCTCCGTGTCCCATCCTCCGTTCACTAAGCTTAGTTAAAAAGGAAGCCCCCTTTTTATCTGTTTCTGTTCTTCGGGTAGTTCTTTTTTGCTGATGCCATTGGATTTGTGCAGAGTTGTGTTCTCAAGGTGAATATCCACTGTGATGGCTGCGAACATAAAGTAAAGAAACTCCTTCAGAAAATCGACGGTACATAGCTTTTATTACCGGCTGTAATTTGCCCCTTTTCAGATCCAACTCAAGTTTCAACTTTATCATTACTGCCTTACTTAGCACATGCACCGCATGTCTCTCTCACAGATTCAACTGCTTCACTTATGCCGGGCTAATTAGTCTTAGAATATATCACCTTTTTTAATATCCTAGCAGGGCAGGTTTGTTCCATCAAATTCTGGTGGTTGCTGATTATATGCTTTTGGTGACAGGTGTGTATTCAGTGAATATAGATGCCGAGCAAGGGAAGGTGCTGGTGACAGGGAATGTGGATCCAGGCACACTGATAAAAAAGCTGAAAAGTTCAGGCAAACATGCTGAACTATGGGGGCCGAAAGGCATGATGTTTCCCACTAACCAGTTCAAGAACCTGCAAATTGATCCTCATGGCAAAGGGGGAAAAGACAACAAGTCTCACAAAGGTGGAAAGGACAACCAGAAAGGTGCTGGTCAACCTCAATTGTTTCAGTTCCAAAATAAGGGGCCACATAATTTCAAGTTACCCGCCGGAGATCACAAATCTGTCAAGTTCAACTTGCCGGGGGAGGAATTCGACGCAAGTGATGACGACTTCGACGATGATTTTGACGATTATGAAGATTCAGAGGACGACTACAAAGAAGAGCACATCCATACCCATGCTATGCCTAACAAGATGATGAACGGACATAAAGGCACTGGTGGTGGGGGTAAGAATGCCAAGAAGATTGACGTCATGGATGTACCAGTACAAATGAAGGGCAAAGGAGGGAACAACGAGTTCAAAAATGGAGGCAACGGAGGAAAGAAGAACCATGGAGGCGGAGGTAAAAAAAACAAGAGTGGAGGTGGAGGAGGTAACAAAAAGAGCACGAAAACCAGTGTGGGGTTGCTAGGTCGGTTTCTAGGGTTAGGGCAAAAAGGAGGTGACAAGCACAAAGATAAGAAGAAGGGAGGAGGTGGGGGTGGAACTGGAAATAACAAAAAAGGTAAACAAGGGAAGAAGGGAGGAGACAAATTTGAGGATGTGGGCTACGGTTTTGATGATGAAGATGGTGATGTTGATGAATTTGATATTCCTCAATCTCATCAGGGTAAGGGTAAGGGTAAGGGTAAAGGAGGCAATGGCGGTAAAAGTAATAATGGTAAAGGTAATGGGAATCATGGAAACGTGGGCCAGATGGGCCCAATCCAAATGGGCCATATGGATCAGATGAAGATGGAGCAGATGAGGAATTTAATGCAGGGACTACCAGCCATGAACGGTGGTGGGTACTATCCAGGAATGCAAATGCAGCCTCCTCCGCCCCAGTATCAGCCGCCGCAGCAGTACATGGCTCCCATGATGAGCCATAATTATCACCAGCAACCACATCTGAACAGTATGTACCCACCACCGGCGATGATGTATGGGCGGCCTTACATGCCGCCTCCGCCGCCGATTCCGGTTCAACCAGGGGCCGATCATGTTACACACGCCTTCAACGATGAGAACACTGAGAGTTGCACTGTCATGTAAACTAAGAAGAGATCGAGCTTGTTTTGGCTCGCTTTCACGTTTATTTGCGCTTTTTTCTTTTCCCGTATTCAATATCTGGGGTTTCATGAAATTTTGTTCTAGTGAGTGCTAGTGCATTAGTGCTTAGTGGTGTTAGATATGTGCAAAATTTAGGGTGACATATATATATAAAAATATATATAATTGATATGGTTGCTTTTATTTTGGATCGTGCCCTTCGCGACTGACGTCATGGCAGAAGCTTCACATGTGCTCGCTGTGAGCGCTAATGGCCAAAATGTCCCTCACAGTACAGCCAGTCATGATTGATGATGATGCCTTATATTAATTTGTATATGCTTACTTTGTAGTGCCATTGCCGCGGTACATAATAAATTATTAATTATTCTCAGGCCTTTGTTCTCCTGCTGGAGTTGGCTGGAAGGAACAATGTTTCAAAGGGGTAAAAAAAGGCAAATGCCCTACGTACTGATCTGGACAGTTTATTAGTTAGGAAGAATTACAATGAATTTTTTTAAAAAAATAATTACTAAAAAGTTTTAAAAATAACCTAAGCAGCTTAACAAGTTTCAGAATAAAAAATAATAATTTGGGAGATTTATTTTATAATTTTGTTTTGAAATCTCGTTATAATTTTTCCAATTAGTTACATAGAGCGTTAAATGGAACTTTAAGCCGAATGCTTCTTACGCTTGGACGCAGACTTTCAGTAGTAAACATCCTTCATACTGATCTGGGTTCACCCAGAATAATTAAGGGCGACAAGTGGGCAGTTTAATCATGCATATAAAAGGCCTCAAGCTTATCCTGGCCTCTCCACTTGGACCTTTTATGGCACTTAGAAATTAATTAGTTTTAGTGCGCCTTTTTCTCCTACAAAATGAATGCCTCTATGTTTGATATATATATATATATGCACACACATATTATATATATCAGGCGCCAATAATTTTAGATCAAAATCTGTTCAGTATTATCCAGAAATACGGGTTTCTGATAATGATGGCTTATAAAGCATCTGCTATATATGGGATACAAATAATAGAGAGGAAACAGCTACTTTTTTAAGTCAGACCCAACTCCCTGGTTCGGAAAGGCCACAAAAAACTTTGTACGTTTGATCGTCCCCTCATTCGAAAGGGCATCCATGGTCTGCGCCCTTTTCCTTTTTCATTTTTGCGTTGCTTTTCTTTCGCTGGGGATGATCGCATTCAGTTTTACTCAAATGGGGGGAAAAAATCAGACCCAGAAAAAATGAAAGCAGGGGAAGGAAGAATGAGAATCATAGGACAGAAAAGGTGATCCAGAGACAGAACGACAGTTCGGCCTTGTCGTAGTTTTTTAAAATTATGAGAATATCAAAGCTAATTTCAAATTTTGAATGAACGATATCCAAATGGTTCATTTATAGGCTGAACACTGATGACGGGACACCCGCTTGGTAAATGTAGATATGATTCAGTCATTCGTACATTAACATGCGAAGGAATTAGAACGTTGGCCAAAAAATGGGAAAGAAAAAAGCCAAGAAGTACCCTCATCATCATCTTCACGGGGTCTGCAATCGGCCTTCGTCTTCTTCCGCCATTGCCACAAGAAACGAAGCACCGACATGTTGATGCGGGGCAGCCACACGCTCACGGGCTTTTTTCTTGGGTCAATATAATAGATGGGCTCATGCATATTGGGCCAACTCTCTCGGGGTTTAGGAGGGCCCAACATAAAACGCCTGCAGCTTACGCTGGGGAGTAAAAACACGCATGCCCCCTTGAGGCAAGGCTGTCCGTTGGGTTTAGACATGTCTTGTCCTGTTCGGAACCTCTTCATTTTGCTTCTCATCCTTTCCCCTTCTCGTTTTTTTTTCCTGATCATTAGATTAAAATTAATCCAATAATTAAAAAAAAAAAGAAGAAGAGGAGGAAAGAGGATGGGAAGGGAATCTTGTCAAGTTATGATTGAAAATCTTGTTGGAAAGAATACCCATATTTAGTGTCTAATAATGTTTTGTATAGAATTGCTTCCAATAGGATGGACAAAAAAAATCATCATCATCATTTATGAAGCACAACACGCATAGAAAAAGAAGAAGAGATGTACTAAAAAGAAATGTGTTGTGAACAAATAATTTTAGTAGCAAGGGAATATGAATACGCTGTTGCTTCAGTGTGTAGCGATTCATAGGGGCAGAAAGAAAGGGGCTGATCAAGGAATATGGTGGAAGCCCGAGGCTGAGGCAGGCAACAATCCAAAGCCCAGCACAGTCACAGTGCGTGCGTGCATGCACCATGCAAATCTTCTTCGTTGCCAAGTATCCCCCTTCACACTTGCCACTCCCTTGTCTTGCTACCTCCGCCCTTCATTCATGGAAAAATTACAATGAGGTTCCCCTACAAGAAAAAAATTATAAAACAAGTCCTAGAAGTGTTATTCTCTACTTTAAAATTTGTCATTACAAGCTGCTCAGGTTGTTATTGGAGCTTTTAGTTGTTATTTCTCTTGTATGGGACTTGATTGTAATTCTCCCTTCATTCATCCCTATCTCTATCATTCCAGCTTCGCACACTTCCAAACTTATGCCTCCTCACTGTACTCTTTCGCCCCTATTAAACGTGCAGCCCTTCATTCTCCCACGCAAACAATTAATCTCCTCTCATGGCTTCTTCTATCCTCCGTTTCCTGCTTCTCACCGCTCTCTTTTTCCTTTCTGAGCCGACCTATCGACCTCCCAAGCCAAATCTCCTGGTTTTGCCGGTGCAAAAAGATGCTTCTACGGGTCTTCACTGGGCCTATGTCCACAAGAGAACCCCTCTGGTTCGGGTCCCAGTTCTGGTGGACCTTAACGGCAGGTTCTTGTGGGTGAACTGTGACCAACACTACTTATCCTCCACGTACACAGCCCCCTTCTGCCACTCCACCCTCTGCTCTCGGGCCAACACCCACTCATGTTACTCCTGCGCCTCCGCTTCTAGACCCGGCTGCCACAACAACACCTGCGGCCTCATGTCCTTCAACCCTGTCACTCTCCAATCTGGCGTCGCCGAGCTCGCCCAAGACATTCTCGCCATTCAAGCTCAGCCCACATCTCCTCCCTCCAAACTCGCTTCCATGGTCACCGTCCCTCAGTTCCTGTTCGCTTGCGCACCCTCCTTCCTGCTCCACAAAGGCCTGCCCAGTATCGTTCAAGGCGTTGCTGGACTGGGACACGAAGCCATTTCTTTCCCGCTTCAACTTGCCTCCCACTTTGGGTTGCAGCGCAGATTCACCATGTGCCTCTCAGGCGATCCCAACTCAAACGGGTTTATATTCTTCGGCGAACAACCAAATCTCTTACGTCCTCACTTGGATATTTCCCGTGATTTGGTTTACACCCCACTCACGGTTACCCCAAAAGGAGAGTACCATGTCCGAGTCACGTCCATAAAAGTGAACAACCAGGTCGTGGTCCCAGTGAACCCATCTCTCGTATCAGAACTCATCGCAAGCAGTACCAGACGCGGTCTCGGAGGAACTATGATTACGACGGCGTCGCCTTTTACAGTCCTGCAACGCTCAATATTCGAAGCTCTTGTTCAAGTATACGCCAATCAAATTCCAAAACAAGCACAGGTGAAGGCGGTGGAACCATTCGGGTTATGCATGGACTGGAAGAAGATCAACAAGGCTCCAGACGTGGAGCTAGTGCTGAGCAGGGCCAGTGCGGCGTGGAGAATAAGTGGAGAGAATTTGATGGTGGAGGCGAGACCGGGCGTGAGGTGTCTAGGGTTGGTGAATGGAGGAGACAAGCCTAGAGCTGCTATTGCCCTGGGGGCACGTCAGTTGCAAGAGAACCTTGTGGTGTTTGATCTGGCTCGCTCCATGCTGGGGTTTAGCCCGCCCTTGCTCTCTCGCGGTACTAGATGTGCCGCCTACAACTTCACCACTCCTCCATAGAGCCACCGTTCGTGTGTGTTAGATAGTGCTGGTTAAGCAATAAGCAATGAGTGATCAACTTGTTGTATGAACCCCTTCCGTGCGCTTAAATTAATGTATTGTTATCAATACAATTACATTATATTCCGCCCGCTGGCCATCCGAAACAAGTCCACGACCTCGTTTGGGCTATCACGGAGGATACGTATATTTTTCTCCCTTTTTTTAAAACAATTTTACCTTAAGTTGGACTAAACAACTTTTTCTACCTTAAAAGAAGTTAAATTTCTATGATTGCGGCAAGACTTTGGATCAGTTTGAAAATAAAAAAGTAAACATGTTAAAAGAGTTGTAAAACATGTTTATAAGTAATTTTATACGTAATTTCAAATAGAATCTTAAAAGTTCCAAAGAGCATCATATTTTTGGTGTGTTTAGAAAACTGCTGATCTTGGTTAATGATTTGACTAGCTTTGTCTCCAAAGTTGTGGAAGATCATTTTTGGGTCACAGACAGTTGAATATGAAAAACAATCCAATATTATTTCCAAGGTTACCTACTTAACTTCCACGAAGCACCTCAGCCTTTTCCTCACCTAAAGTTAAAACTTGGCGAGACACTGAGGATTAAAAGAAAATCATCTTGTGTGCGTGTGGCGTTGCGCTAAAACTACCGTCTCCATTTGCTCTTAATGTGTCATTTCCTTCTCAGCTAATGGTTGCGGCTGATTTTTTTTTTTTTTTGAATAGATTGGTTATGAACGAATGTATGAATTGCATTATAAGGAGCAAGCCTCTTTTCACCCACCATCACCTTTTATTAATTACTGCTCAATCTGCTTATCTGACTCTAAATCATGGCTCCCATTGTCACTGTCTTCAATAACTTTCGGGTTACATATTCTAGGCAAAGTTGATAAATCTAGAAACAAGAATAATAAGAAGCTCAGCTGGAAGATAACGCCGGGAAAAAAAAAGAAAGAAGAAACAATATACAGTTCCTAAACAACGACCGATCATAAGGAGAATATGAAAAATGAAGATTCGGTTATCAAATTATAATACTCAAAACTCAGCGAGCTGTAACACAAGATTCATTTCTTCAAGCCGTCTAGTATAAAAATGGCAAACAAATGACTGAATCATGCCCCCGCGCTCCTACGGCCAACACGAGCAACAAAACCAGCCTTGATGGGAGCAACTGATCTCCCACATCCACACTGCAGTAAATCACCGAGTATTAGATTTGATGTAACATAAAACAGTTTAACCTTCAGACGACGTGTCATAAAAACTATCAATAGGAAACGCTAGTAATAATTTCAACAAACTTGGTAACAATAGAGTACTAGCATCCTGTAAAAAGGAGGGAGCGCAGCAAAGTATAAGCTTGAAAATTATCAGGGAGAACAAGTAATTTTCGCAGTAAAATATGAAGAGGAAAGAAAGAAGAGGGGCAGAGGGCACTGACAAGAAGATTTACCTTCTCACATCTAAGAAAGAACAGACGGTTCTCCTTTGAAAGTATTGTGTCTGGACTCTTGCATCCAATGCAAATGACATATTCATCTGAGAGAGAAATATCGATCAGCTTCAATCTCAAAATGATCAGAATTTTACAAAATTGCCGCTCACAAAACGCATGCAGTTTACATTTATTATACACAGCAGATTCTCTATCAAATATCAAACATTAAAAAAAAACACATACTGATATATCGCCGCAAAATTCCTTCAAAGTTCTTTGGTGCAAATCTTCCCTTCACAACCAATCTCTGCTGTCCATCTAGTGAGCCACTTGTCCCCAGTTCAGCAAGCAAAAATGCCATAACATGGTCAGGCTGTCGATGCATCCTAACAACAAAACAGGTGAAATGGAAAAATCAGTTTTCATAGCAACAAGATTTCATTCAAACTGCCAGTGAAAATAACGGTGAAAGATGATATTATGCAATTGTAACACAAGGGAGTTAGTTAAGGGTGGGGGGATTTAGGATTTATTAGCCATTAGGGATGTTACTGACAGTGGCTGCATAGAGACGGCCCAGCTAATTGTAATTAGGCTTGGATAGTGGGTTTGAGTTTCCTTTCCCTCATACTCTTTGTTCTCTATTGTCCCTCTGTTCCCTCTGTCTCCTCTCCTTTCTCTTTCCTTTTGCTAGCCACCTGTACGTTTGACCTTTCCTTTACTAAAACTTTGGTACCAGCTTTTTAAAGCGAGAAAGAAGAGCAAGGGATGAAGAAGTGGCAATATAGACTTGGTAACTTTAGGTCCAATCCGATAAAAAGAAAAGCATCATAAGGAATATGGTTGTGGGTCTACAAAGGTTATATAATGGGTCAACTGATAAAAGCTCAATCTCATTTGATGAAGACTTACGACACAATAGGCAGTGGAACACTTCCTAACAGCATTAAGCAACTTATAAATTCTGATGCAACTCTCAATTACAACTATTTGCTGTAATACTTGAGTTACGCTAGTTGCCTAGGCTACCTTGACAAAGGGCAAGGATCTTCGGGAAAGGGCTATTATTATGTAATTGTATATGAGAGAGTTGGTTAAGAGTAGTTGAGATTTAGGATCCTATTAGAGGTTAGGGATGATAATAACAGTGGATATATATAATGGAGAGACCTATATAACGGAGTTGACAAGTGAAGCAGAGAAATTTTATTTCAGACTCTCATCTCATACCAATAGGATATGTATTCTTTTATCATATATTGCACAGAATGACGGATTAAAGATCAACATACGTTTTGCATATATCCATAAAATTCACAAAAACAGTTTTCTTTGTGCCCTCACGAAGAACTTGAGGAGGCCTAATTACTGTTCTACGACGATCCCCAGCCAGTTCTGGATTATTCTCACGTAGAATGTTAAACACTCTTCCAAGAAGCTGCAGGAAAAAAAAAACAAAACGAAATGGAAAGTCAAAATCCAATCCAAGTATACTATTATAATACATGATGGGTCAATTAACACCAGCGATAACTGAACCAAGCTTCCTCTAGTTATATGAAACAAAGAAGAGTAAAGTAATAAAACATTTGCCCTCAACCTGCTACAAATGAATCATCATCTATGCTAAATCAACATTTTCATGCTATGATTAAAGTGGTACCTAATTAAACACTTCTGATAAATTCAAAATAACTTCACAAAACTTACAACCCAAAGTACATAAACTGTGGAAAAGTAATGAAATGGAAAGAACCGAAAGATAAAGTAGTTCAGAACACATCCACTCCAGGCATAACAGATGGTATACAAGTCATAAAGATATAAAAGCTTGGAATCTTAAATTTTTTGCGGGACAAATTGACAAAGTAATTACAAAAAATTTAACCATGACAGAGACAAGGAGAGGCGTTTGATTACAGAAGGCATGCAAAATAGAACATACCTCCTCATATTGATAATCACGGTCGCTACCATCCCAAGGATAACAAGGGACCAAGGAGTTGCCTTCTCCTTCATCCTCTCCAGAGTGATCTGAGCCAGGAAAATTTATTAGATGCTCATCACTCACTCAGTTAACTTCACTCGACGTCAAGAGTATAACACACACAGTGATGGAGTTGAGTTTAACGCAAAGCAATAAACAAGACAACTGCTTACCATCCAAATCTTCAGCTGCATCTCCACCTTCATCAGTAAAGTTACTGATTTCAACCTGCAATCAGAAAACAAGCATAATATCGCTCCCACATTATTATATGTTCTACTATATGTTCCAGTGGCTTCTGTAGAGATTGTGTACAAAAATCACTCAATATAAATGCTGAATGACTTACTGGTTTCTTCTTCTTCTTTTTCAAACCAGTAAATGGAGTCTCAACCCCATCTGAAACTGCAAAAATAAGAATGAGCCATGCATGTGCACAATTGTAGATATCTCAAATGTTCACATCAGCAATAATAATAAAAATATATTTCGGTTTAAATTATATACCAGACAAGTTTTCTGCCTTCTCAGCCAAGCTGTCCACTGAATTGTCGGCAGGATCTATAATTGTAGTTTTCTTCTTTTTCTTCTTCTTAGTAGGATCAAATGGGGCAATCTATCATTCAACAATTAAGGCCTCAGAAGGGAGTGCTTTTTGAACGAACCGAAGTATAGCTAGTCAAGCGAAGCACAAAGCACAACAACGTTGTCAAATCATGAATAATTAAGTAGGGGAGGAATAATACTTACTTCGGGAACTTCCTCCTTCTTATCATCATGTGTTTCATCTGCCATGGTTGCTGCAACACGAGTACAGTAGACGGTGATCAGTGAATGGGGAAGCAGAGGCAGACCTATATTACAGTCAGTGCGGTCATCTTCCCCCACTGAAATCTTTGAAATATGAATATTTGATATAATATCCTTTTAATTTTTGTTCCGTATACTTTGACGAAGATGCCTTAGTAAGCCAATTGATTCAGACAACTCCTCCAAGCCACTGAAGAATCACAATTTACATTCAAGCTTCTAAATTGTTTTACATTACTCGAGCCAAGTCATTTACCAGGTCATGCATAACAAATACTTTCAGAAATTTCTCAATAGATGATAATATAAAAGCGATTAGTAAACAGAATGCCAGTACACAACAAAACAATACAGAGCATATAAGTCGCTAATAATCATAATGAAGAGAGTAGAAGTATAAAATCGGATAACACCTCATTGAAGCAAAAACTAGTAATAATTAGAAAAAATAAAGTGTTTATTCAAAAGCGTCAATATGCAAAAGCACGACCAAGGTCAAAGCCAAATTAAAACCTAAAATTTAAAACAAAGCAAGAAACGACGCGACGGCGTCCGACACAGGGTTGACAACCACGCAGGGAACAGATGAAGCGGGGAATAAATTCACATCAAGATTCAAAGCCAGAATGAACAAATCAATCTCACCGGATTTTGGGAGCAGACAAGCCCCTGGGATTTGAACCTTCTTCAGTATTTGCACAAGAACGACCACGCGAGGCTAACAACGCCGATAGTGTAGAATGCTTGCGCGTCGACGAAGAAAAATGGAACCCTACCGTTTTTTTTTTTGTGTGCCGTTAAATTTCTCCCCTGGGGGTTGGAACCCTATTTCTTTGCCAACGAGACACGTGAGGGGCTTTTATGGTTTATTTTAAGGGGATTGGGATGACGGGGAATCCAAAAATATATATTTAAATTTTAAAATTTTATAGGGAAAATGACAGATAAAGAAGTTTGAAAATTTGAAATGCCAACTTGGGAAGCTAAGGAAATATAATTACAGATAGGAAAGTCCTTCTTAAATTAAAATTTTGAAATTCAGTAAAATGACAAAAATACTCTTTATCTTTTTTTTTAAAAAAAAATCCCAACCCCTCACCAGTGGCCGATGACTAGCCTCCGGCGGCCGCCGACCGCCTCTAGCCACCGGCACCGGCCACTAGTGTGGTGGCTGCCGATGGAAGATTTTTGTAATAACATTTTTTTTTAGAATGGGATAATATGGTTCAAAGTGGCGGGGGTGGGATTTGATCCCACAACCCCTTGGCCACCTAGGCCAACAAAAGGAAAGATGGCCATTGGGCCATAAAAAATTTCTTAACCTTATGATGCAAACAAAAATATAAGTTAACTCTTTTACTGTGACTCCAGCGCGTGATAACAATTTATTTAAGGATGACAAGTCTTAATTGAGAAATAACAAGTCTAAATTTGATATTAACAAAACAGCTTTTTCTTATACATAACAGGTAGCAGCATGTACATTAACTAAAAATGACCATGATTGATTTAAAAACAACACGTCTTTGCTGAAAAATGACAAGTCTAAACTTGATACTAACAAGACAACTTTTTCTTATACATAACAAGAAATAACATCTACGTTAATTAAAAATGACCATAATTTATTTGAAAATAATATCAAATTTAGACTTGTTATTTCTCAATTAAGACTTGTCATCCTCAGATAAATTGCTGTCACGCGCTGGAGTCACAGTAAAAGAGTTAACTTATATTTTTGTTTGCATTATAAGGTTAAGAAATTTTTGATGGCCCAATAGCCATCTTCCCTTTTGTTGGCCTAGGTGGCCAAGGGGTCGTGGGATCAAATCCCACCCCCGCCACTTTGAACCATATTATCCCATTCTAAAAAAAATGTTGTTACAAAAATCTTTCACCGGTAGCCACCACACCAGTGTCCGGTGCCGGTGGCCAGAGGCGGTCGGCGGCCGCCGGAGGCTAGTCGCCGGCGATGGCTGCCGGTCGCCGGCCACCGGTGAGGGGCTGGGATTTTTTTTAAAAAAAAAAGGACAAAGGGTATTTTTATCATTTCACTGAATTTCAAAATTCTAATTTGGAAAAGACTTCCCTATCTGTAATTACATTTCCTTAGCTTCCCAAATTGACATTTCACATTTTCAAACTTCTTTATCTGTCATTTTTCCAATTTTATATCAATCTTATTTATTAGACTCTAATAACAATAGATAATAGTTAAAAAGATAACGGTAGTCATTTTTTATTTGAGATTTTAAAATTTTAGAGGTATCTTTCTTTTAGAGATTTTCCCTTGGGTTAATCCCAAATATTAAAATTTATTTTATTAATTATTAATTTGTACTGAAATAATAATTATTACCTTATTAATATTCTTTATTTTTATATATTAAATACATTAGATTCAAATACTGGGGAGTGCTTAAAATTTTTTTTCTTTATTTCTGCCAACGGAAAAAAACTGCTTTTATATAACTTTTCAGTTTTCATTTTCAGTACCAGATAATATGATCCTTATCAGATAAGATCCTAACAAGGATCTCGTCTCATGTGAAAGATTATACTGGAAGTTTTCATTATCATAAACACAATTTTAAAACTTATTTTTATTTCTTTTATTTTTTATTCTTTTTTCAATTCTTGTTCTTTTAAAATTTTTTGAACAAGTTAAATGAAACGTTGGCCTAGAAGTAAAACTAACTATCTATATAAAAAAGAGAAGTAAAATTAACTAAAAAAAAATAAAGTGGGCAAAAGCAGATCCTAACAAACAATTTATAATTTGATATACTATTCATTTAAATATTTTAAATATTTTTATTTTAATAAATACAAATTTAAATTTAAAATAATTTTCTAATTGATACTTCTTAAAAATTAAATTTATTATTTTAAATTTAGATTATCCAGACTAGATATTTCAAAATCCAAAAAAAAAAAAAGCTATGTGGAACGGAGGGGGAAAAAACAGCTATTATACGGCGGGTTAGGAAGCGGGAAGAATGGAATAACCCAGTTTAGAGTGCAGGGGCAATTTTGTCTGGCACATAATCTCCCAAAAAGCAAAATAGGGACTGTGACTAGAAAGTATGAATCTGTGATATAGCCCCACGCCCCCATCCAACTTATGCGAGACAAGAGTAACAACAGGGTTTCTTCTGCCAAATTAAAATCAGAACAGATCAGACAGCTCTTTTCGTACATCCCTATTTTAGGTTCGCTCCAAGAAAACATCAATAATCGTCCACGACTAGAAAGCTCTGCTCTTCGTATCTCTTCTTGAAACCCTAATCCACCGTAAGATTTGCAGTCTTTCACAGTACGGAAAACATTACTTCCAGCGCGTTTGATCTTCGACTCAGCATAATTCTCATGGCATAGATCTTTGGGGCAAAAATAATTCTGATATTTCTTTTCTTCTCTCTTCTATCTTATGTTTTTCAGGTCCTGATATTTCATATCAGAGCATCTACTGTCGCAGAAGGTACCAATTCTCGCCCAACTAAAAGGAGAACTTACTTGCCCTTTTTGTTTGGGTGACCTTTTTACTTTTTGAGTGGGAATTTTACTGGACATTCGTGATCCCATTAGTTGTTGCTCTTCTTCTGTTTATTTATTTGGTTAGCTTTCTAGTGGTCTGTTCTCTCTGCCATGAAGCGCCTGTATAAACAAAAAAACTTCTTTCCATTCATGGCATTTGAGAAGTACACGATAGCAGAATTTTTCTTTTTCTTTTTTTAATCTTTTTCCATTTTAATTTTAGGAATACGTCGAAACACCAATTCCTCCCTACATGCTGGGTTTATTATCAGAATACGCATCCGAGGGATCAATAACATACGCTTGAACTATACCTTGGAACCTTTACATCTTTAGTGCATACTTCAAATTTATATGATCCCTAATAAGGCTTTCTTAACAACAAGATTGAGGACACGTAGCGGTGGAATATTTTAAAGTGAACAGCGCTCTGCCTATGTAGTTGAATTGTTTCTTGAGTTTTGTCTGGAAAGACGTGTTGGTTTTTGGGGGGAAGATAGTTATTTTGATGTATAGACTGTTCATTTGTGTATTAATTTCATGAGGCATATTTGGTGTGCCAAAATCTTGTCAAAACTGTTCCATGGTTTGAAATGCAACTTTTCATAGAAGGTTTCGACTGTTATTGTTCATAATGTAATTTATTGTTTTCTAATGACACAGAATGGATCACCAAGGAGGGTATAGCGCAAACCCATCTATGGGGGTTATTGGTAGTGGGGCTCAGTTGCCTTATGGTTCTAATCCTTACCAGCCAAGCCAAATATCTGGGGCACCTGGTTCTGTCGTTACCTCAGTTGGGACTATTCAAACTACTGGTCAGCCTGCGGGAGCTCAGCTGGGACAACAACTTGCTTATCAGCATATTCATCAGCAGCAGCAGCAGCAACTTCAGCAACAACTCCAAAGCTTTTGGGCAACTCAATACCAAGAAATTGAGAGGGTAACTGACTTCAAGAACCACAGCCTTCCCTTGGCAAGGATCAAGAAGATTATGAAAGCCGATGAGGATGTTAGGATGATATCAGCTGAGGCACCTGTTATATTTGCAAGGGCATGTGAAATGTTCATATTAGAGTTGACCTTGCGTTCTTGGAACCACACTGAGGAAAACAAAAGGAGAACACTGCAAAAGAATGATATCGCAGCCGCAATCACAAGGACTGACATCTTTGATTTTTTAGTTGATATTGTGCCGCGGGAGGACTTGAAAGATGAAGTGCTTGCATCAATCCCTAGAGGAACCATGCCAGTTGCAGGGCCTGCTGATGCTCTTCCTTATGGCTATATGCCACCACAGCATGCTCCTCAAGTTGGCACTGCTGGGGTCATCATGGGTAGGCCTGTAATGGACCCAAGCATGTATGCTCAACAATCGAATCCCTACATGTCACAACAAATGTGGCCACAGCCGCAAGAGCAGCAACCATCATCTCCAGATCATTAGCAACTACTTATCATCATTATAATGTATCATGGAAATTAAGGTGAACTTTTATCTCCCTATTTCTCTCTTTATAAATTCATTTCCATGGTCTGTGGGTTAACCCATGGTGAATATTTTACTACATAACAGTGATATTTAATTCTGCAGTTATAAAGTCTTTTTTTTTTTTTTGCCCCCACTTTCTCATTGAACATTGATATTTCTTTTTAGATTACAGAATCCTAGTACTTTGCATTTAATTATAGAAATAAGTGATTTTTGCTTATCAGTTATTAGCACTAGATTAATGATTTCTCTCTCTTTTAGTAACAATTTCTTGGTATCTATTATGATTTTTGTTATAGTAACGGTAAATCTGATATTGGATAGTAAGAAATATGATTATATCGTGTGTTTGTGTATTTGGCATTTTAATGGTGGCCATTATGTATATTATTCGTTGTATTGTGACACACTGAATGTGAGGTTAGAATAATGACTGAATATATCCCCTCGCCGTTCTTGCTTTCTTTTGTGGAGATATGGAGCTCTGAGAATTTCATACGTCCTTTGTTTTTGATTACCTTGTTTTGAGCTTTTTCTTTAATCATTTAGTCAAGAGACTTTATGAACCCACATTCTTTTTGCTCTTTAATTTTCTAAATAAGCTTTACTGCAATACTTAGAGTTTGTTTTATTTGGCGGGCTAAAATGATAAAGCATGCTCATTGCTCGTATTATAAAAAAATCATTGTTCCTTGTGTGCCAGGTTAGTTGTGCCTACTTTTCTGATGTTGAGATGTTAGATTGAAAGATTGCTCAGAGATCCTTAGCGATCAGAAAGTGTAGCGGATGGCTGTATACGTACACGCAAATCTTGTTTGTGTAGATGATCTGCTAGTAAAAACTTATTTCACCTGGATTTAAAGCAGATTGGTGTTTTTTCTTAGTTTATTTTTTGTTGTGCTCAGATTGTTACAGTATTTTACTGGTGTACAGTAGAATTTTTACTCCCAAATTTAGCTGCGTTGATGAACGTTTTTTTTCGTTTACAGCATTTCCATGGTTACATTATAGCGACTGTCTTCAGTTGTGTGATTTCAACGTTGTCATGTAAAGTGTCTGGCACCTAAAATCTCCACCCCCCCCCCCCCCAACCCAAAAAAAAGAGAGCTTTTTTGTTAGTTGAAAATTTTTTCTGTGAAAAACTTAATTTTTAAAAAATTTCTTGACAAAAGAATGTGAAGTGATCTTATATCATATTGCATGAATGGAAGGGTGATAAAGGACAATGTTGTGTAAAGCATAGTGCAAATTTTTCAAGTGATGGTGAAACAATTCATGTTTTAGAAAAACAATTTGCAAGTGAGTTTATACCGTTGACATTTTCCTTTAGGTTTTCATTAAATTCTGGAAAATTAAAAGTCACGTGGGATCCCTCTTTATCATTCCTTAATCAAAAAAATCCCGTTGTGTTACGATGTCTAATGCAACTATTCAAAATATGCCAGACGCAGATGTCGTGTCAAGTGTTCGTACGAACATGTCCATCCTCTAGATGGAAGTGGGCGTTAGCACTGAATAAAGTATAAACATGGAATAGATCTCCCAATTAATTTACTTGGATCACATTGGATAAACCCATTAATCATGTGTTCTTCGCCTCCAAAGCTATTGACGCGTTTGGGTCATGTCTTTAATACCCATCGATTTGAAGCCATAAAATGAGATGGCTTTGTCGTATTCGCAAGACTAAATGCACGGACAAAGCGTGTCGATTTCATGAGGCCCCAAGTTGGTTTCTGTATTTGGGACGTGTTTCTGTGGCACAACGCAGAGTCACCCGTTGTAATTGATGAAGGCGACGCTGATGAAGATGGTATTTCTGGAACTAGTGGATGAGATTCTATTGATGTTGACTCTAGTGCAGTAATGCTCTTGCTTCCTATCTGTTTAGGTTTATGGCGACGTCAGATAGCAAAACATAACCAACCTTTTTAATGACATAACTACCCTGCAATCAGGATCAGGGCAACCCAGGGCATGAGTCTGCAAATGCAAATACAAATACAATCACTCAAGCTTTTCAACGAGAAAGATGAAGCATGCCAAGGCCATCATGGTGGGTAGAAGAAGTTTTGACAGAGAAAATCTCTCCGGTGGAATATTATCTGGTGGGAAGCGTAACCAATGTGTCATTTTACCGGGCAATGTCTCTATGGTTGCTGATTCTTTCGAACGAAGAAACCAGAACTGGTAATCGTTTCCCCCTGCCTTCATATGGTCTTCTATTGGTATTTTGTGTTGCTGACAAAGTATCTGCTTGTTGAATATCCCCTTGAGGCAGGATTGCTCGGGCGAATTCAGCTCCAGATTTGATCATACAAGTTGGAGATTCCAGCTTTCATTTGCACAAGGTGGGCTAGCTAAACTAATTCAACCAATGAATTCTCTGGAAAATTAGAGCGTCTATCATTCAATAAAGAGATCAGATGTCGTAATTCAGTTCGATTACATGAAATATATACATACACACACATACTTGAATCAACTCCTTGGATCCGTCCGCACCACAGATGGATTAATTTCACTGTTCATTTATACCCCCTTCTAAATTTTAGTTAAACATAACACAGATAGGAGCTTTTCAAACCCACCCCACTAACTGCCTTTGCGTTTGTTGATTTCCAGCTTCCTATGGTCTCAAGAAGTGAATATTTGAATAGACTTGTCTTTCACAGGAATAACAATAGAGAGAGTGCAGGTGACATCCTCAAAATCCAAATAGAAAATCTTCCAGGTGGAGTAAAAACCTTTGAATTGGTGGTGAAGTTCTGTTATGGATGGAAAATTGAAATAACAGCCAGTAATGTCGCCTCACTATATTGTGCTGCACATTTCTTGGAAATGAGTGATGACCTCGAAAAAGGAAATCTCATTTCCAAGACGGAGACTTTTATGAGCTTTTTGATGTTATCTTCATGGAAAGACACATTTCGTATTCTCAAATGCAGCGAACCCATTTCCTCTTGGGCCAAGGAGCTAGACATAGTGAAACGCTGCGCAGAAGCGATAGCTTGGAAGGCCTGCATTAACCCAAAAGCTTTCAGTTTTGATTATGAATATGCAGACTTCTTGAATGTTCGAGCTAGAAAAACCAATACCTCAGAAGATGAAAACAGAGCGGACACCTGGTGGTTCGAAGATGTAGCACTCCTTAGAATAGATCACTTCATTGAGGTGATTCAGTCTATTAAAAGACGAGGAATGAGATCAGATCTAGTTGGATCATGCATAGCACATTGGACCACCAAATGGCTTTCGCAAGTCACGTTGGGACTTGAGAAGGTCACCCCAAAACACATAACCCAACAGTTACACCGAGTTACAGCTGAATGCTTGATTAGAATACTTCCTACTGAAGAAAACTCTGTCGCTTGCAATTTCTTGCTTCACCTGCTCAAGGCAGGGGTGATGCTGAAAATAAACCCAGAGTTGTTGAGTGTGCTGGAAAGAAGAATAGCTCTCATGTTGGAGCAATGTCGTGTTGAAGATCTCTTGGTTAAGAATCAAGGAGACAGTGATTCTATGTACGATGTAGCTGTTGTCCATCGGGTACTACAATTTTATGCTTCACACATGTTTACAGATGGTGCAGCCAAATTTCATGTTGTTGGGAGGTTGGTGGATGGGTATCTAACAAAAGTTGCGAGCGACGAGAATCTCACAGTGGAAAGCTTCCAATCACTAGTTGAAGTTCTGCCACAAGACGCTCGTTACTATGACGACAGCATCTATAGAGCCATTGACACGTACCTCAAGGTATAGATAGACAATATGTGTTCAATTTCCATTTTTTTCGCAAGCGAGTTGAAAACTTAGGGTTACCCCAAATTTGCAGGCACATCCAGATTTGACAGAAGAAGAAAGAACAAGGGTGTGCAGGGTGCTGGAGTATCATAGATTATCAGAAGAAGCACGCCGGCATGTGATGAAGAATGAGAGGCTGCCCTTGAAATTGACAACGAGATTTGTGCTTTTAGAGCAAGTGAGCATGACAAGGTCAATGACTAAGACAAATTACCGAAGAACAAGCACTCAGACGATCATCAGAGTGAGCAAAGATTTTGAGAACGGATGGCTGAATACCCAGGAGATACAGACGATGAGGAAAGACATGGAAATGGTGAAGTCACAGCTCAAGGATCTGCTTGCGTGCAAAATAAAGCTTCAAAAGCAACTCAAGAGATTCATTGGTTGACACGTGACGGTCAATTTCTTCTTCTTCCTATTCCTCGTTTTTCAGAGCAATATTTGCTAAGGTAGATGACCTGCCTTTCTTGAAACGTGCTATTAAATTGATTAGTAAAATGAATTCGGACGTATCACTGTTACACCCATATGTTATTCCTGCCGATCGTTAAATCCTAACTTGCTTGCGTCTGACGCATCAGAAGGGGAAAAAGGGGGCAAAACGAAATGGTAATTTTCCAATAATTTTAGCTGGCAATTGTCATTTTTTTGTTAAATTTTTTTCCAATACGGTAAGAACCTATAGGCTGGGCAGCAGATGGCAGTTTAAATTTTCTTTTTTGACCCCACAATTGACAACTGGCTTGTCTGTAGGGCATCAAATATCGTGTCATCAATGCATTAGATTGAGAGCAATAGAGCATGGTCACAAGAGGGGGGGGGGTGCTCATTTCGGTGCCCAACAAGTTTTGGGAGTGAAAATAATAACGAGAGGAAAAAAGCATGAAAAGGAAACGGGGCTCACCTTTATATTTTCGGGGATCCATAGAGGCGCGGAGTCCATGTGCAATCTGAATCATTTAAATAATATTTTGACGGATGAATTTTTCCATATTTAAATATTGCTTATTTTTAAAAAGAACATAATTTATCTAAAAACGAACTAAACAAACCTAAAAACATTCGAATCTACTTTGATCGATGCCATTGTCATTGCCCCATTTTAAGAGAGACCGACCTACCCGTCTATTTTGCGGCTATAAATGGAAGGGAAAAACTGAACAGGAAATTCTAATATGGAAGCGGAAACACACTATGAATGAGTTGCCGGACATATCTGTTGAAAGCAAAGTATGAGGCTGGTAAGCTGCTTAACTGGAATCCAGACATTCCATCGATCGTTGAAATAAAAAAATAAAAGCAAAAACAAAAAAACAGACAAAAACTGTTGCAGACATCGCTCCTAGTTTTGCTATGCTTTTGAATACAAGGCTACGCAATCATAGCTTTATAAGCTGAAAGCACAAGTAGTACAGGATTTTAATGCCTGTACATTTCTGTAGCCATGCAGTTAGTACTTGATTCTGATGGATGGAAGACCATTAGAGCGGCAGTTAAAGAATAAACCCCTGTTTTGGTTGATTATAGAAATACCATAACTGCCTAAAAATGAAAAGGAAAATCCAAAAGGTAAGAAATTAAACGTGAATAGGTTTAGGGAAATCATGCGTACTTGGACATGTGACAGCAAGAATGTTGAATATAAAGCAGAGGGTTGGTGGCGTTGGCTCTGTTTCCATACCGTTTCATTAGGTGAAGAAAATGTTGAATGTGGGGAGTGCAGAGGAAGTAGAAGATAGCTTGAACACAGAATCTCCGAAATTCAGAGATCCATGGCCATTTAGGATCAAACTGAACTCCGATAATTTGCGTTGGGATAGCCTCAAGATCTCAGCTGCGAAGGAGTTCGAAGAATCCATTTCAGGACAAATGAATGAGGACAGCCGCAAAGCTCTGGTGGCGTGGGTTCCTGTGAAGGTATCGATCTATGACGTCGATACTGGCGAGACTTACAATGCGAAGATGGCGAAGAAAGAGCTGTTTTGGTTTGATCCTATGCCTTGTTTGGGTGAAAGGCGCGGCGGAGAGACGAGGGAGCCTCCATGTTACGATTTGAAGACGGCCAGGGAAGCCTTTGTTTATTCAATTGAACCTTTCAGGCATATCGTCAAGAGAAGAGATCTGAAATATGGTCAAGAAATTGGACTTCGGGTCTCCCACCACCAGAACCACGTGGCCGAGGGCTTGCAATTTTCAGTTCTCTACTCCCCGTTCTTGGGTATCCATTGCTTCGGATTTTGAAACATGATAGATTGCTCTTCATATGATGTACACTCGCTCTTCTCTTCTTAAATGCTTGTTTTGTTCCCTTCCCGCTTGCCAGTGCATTTCTGCAATTCACCACATGGCGGATCATACACATACAAACCGGAGATACTACGGCATAAAAAATAAAGAAACCAATGGTTAATGGCATGGAGCCCGTTGTTGCTTCGGTCGGTGCCTATCCCTAATTCCCTCTACCTCAGAAACAAAAAAAGATGGTCGATGAATATTGGGCTTAGTGCCCACTGATTTTGGGCTCAAACCCTCCCAATGCATGAGACATCGTTTTCAACACCAGCGGCCCATTTACATTATAAATTTTTTAATGCATTTTTATGGTCGAAAATATGCTTTTAAATTTGTCATTCACAATAGTCTCTCACATCCACGCATTTCTTAATTGGATAAAATTTTTGCTATTGACACAATTTTATTGGTACAAAATTTATTTTGCTGCGATGCATATGATATAATCAAGCGAGTTCTCTCGGGCAAAAAAAAAAAAATCCAGTGAGTTCTCATGCATTATGTAACAATTAATAAATAAGTCTATTATTCGGTCATAGGCTTTTTTATAATTCTGCTTTGCTCGGAGTATGACCTGTGAAGGAAGGCGAGGGAATGCGATGCAAGAATAAAATAAAACACGCGGTGTGCGTGCGTGGGCTCTAATCGAACGAACTAACTTCAATAACGCAGAGGCTGGCCCATCACAACTGCCTTCAGAAAAGATTAATTTTCTTTAAATTTTTGTTGAAAAACGTGTCCGTGCTTCCAAACAAACAGTACTGCCTGCCTTCAATAGGATGCCTGTTGCTGCGAGAAGAAAAATTTAATATTCATTGCCTAGACAGTCATCGCATTCCCTGAAATTCGCGTGGGATTACTCAACCTTTCGACCACGACAAAATCAGAAATTTCTTCTTCTTCATTTTTTGTTCTCGATTGATTTTTCAAAAAATGGACATCTTGTTTATTCTCCCGGATAACCTTCATAAGTTGGCGGCCTCGGCGATATGACAGTGGAGAAGGTTCAAGTGAAATAGCGAGTGTGAGCAGATCGGAGACGAAAGAAGAATATGGAGGCTAAGGCCAGAGCTCCCGGGAAGATTATTCTCTCCGGCGAACACGCTGTGGTGCATGGATCTACTGCTGTTGCCGCTTCAATTGACTTGTACACCTATGTATCTATCCGTTTCCCCACTCCTTCTGGTAGTCTCTCTTTTCCCCCTTCCATTTGTGTGTGAGTGTGTTTGAAATTCTGTTGCGGGATCCCGCTTCCTTGAACCTTTGAATTTAATTCAATCTGACCGAAATCTTCTTTGGGAATAACATCATGTGCATTTCGGTTCTGCTGTTCATTTGTGTTAAAATATCTTTTTGCTATTTAGTTGAGTGGGTTGAACCTTCTGCATTCGCTGATTTAATTAATATGATTTTGTGCCACGCGTATTGATGTCCAAGCCAAAGGCAGAGAAAGCCACGGCACGAGAGCAGATAAATGCCAAGAGGATGTAGAATTAGAATTAACCGAATGGTGCTGAATATGGATGGAAAGGAATGAGAGAATATACTCGCGTTTTATTATTTTCGAAGGATGTTGCCGGTATACGATAATTAAAAGTAAAATCTCTCAGTAAAATCAATTTGGAGAGGTGCTACCCAGCTTAAGCATTCTATATGATATTCCTACGGCATGAATTTATTTATTCGGTGCTAAACTGCTCACATTATTTCTTTGGAAATGGAAACAACTACACTGATTTTTTGACTAACCAATTCTCTGAATTGAAGTACATTGTATTCAAAGCTGGATTCTCATTCAATTTGTGAATATCATCTCTTAGACAACCACGATATGTTGAAACTCCAGCTCAAGGACATGGGATTAGAATTTTCCTGGCCAATTAGTAGAATTGCAGAAGTTCTGCCAGAATCTGGTAGTCAACCCTCTTCAGTGCCTGTTTCATGCTCTGTCGAGTCTTCCAAATCAATTGCAGCGCTAGTTGAAGAACAAAATATTCCAGAGGCAAAAATTGGACTTGCTTCAGGAGTTTCAGCCTTTCTCTGGTTGTATTCATCTATTCAACGGTGTGAATCCAATTTAAACTGTTAAATTCCTCTATTTTTTCCCCTTTGTTGTTCTAATTTTGTACTCCTAAAATGTAGATTTAAGCCTGCTACAGTGGTGGTCACTTCTGAACTTCCCCTGGGTTCAGGCTTGGGTTCATCAGCAGCTTTCTGTGTGGCCCTGGCAGCTGCCCTGCTTGCTTGCACTGATTCTGTTCGTTTGGATGTGAATGGCCAAGGATGGTTGTCATTTGGAGAAAAAGAGCTTGAATTGGTTAATAAATGGGCTTTTGAGGGTGAGAAGATTATTCATGGGAAGCCATCTGGAATTGACAACACAGTAAGCACTTACGGTAAGGCATAGCACTGGTGGAACTTGTCCTTCTGCATTTTTCTGTCTTTAAATAATTACTATTTGAACCTTTGAACCTTTTATTTGTCGTTGATGAAAAAACTTACTTGCATAGAATGAACTGAAGCATAATATGTGGGCTTTAGCGGATGACCCAACAGTCTTTGTCGGGGTTATCGTAGATCATCAAGGTTAGAATGAGATTTCAAGGTCAAACAGCCGCTACAGATATGGACTTGTACAAGTGCATTAAATAATAGCATTTGGTGGGGAAGTAAATTTATTTTTATTGAGTTCGGATATACTGCGTCTACGTTGTTGTCAACATTTCTTGTAGATGTCTCGGATTTGTCTTGTTTTCAAGACAAGTGAGTTGTTGCCATTTATTTTTGCGAATGACTCAAAATCTAGTATTAGCGCTTGTCAGGCAACATGATCAGCTTCAGATCTGGTAACTTGACGCACATGAAGTCAAATATGCCACTAAAAATGCTCATAACTAACACCAAAGTAGGGAGGAACACAAAGGCATTGGTGGCTGGTGTTGCTGAGAGGACACTAAGGCATCCGGATGCAATGTCTTTTGTGTTCAGTGCTGTTGATGCTATCAGCAAAGAATTGGCTCAGATTATCCAGTCACCCACACCAGATGACCTCTCCGTCACCGAGAAAGAAGGGAAGATAGAAGAGCTTATGGAAATGAATCAAGGCTTGCTCCAATGTATGGGGGTTAGCCACACTGCTATTGAAACTGTTCTTCGGACAACGCTTAAATACAAGCTGGCCTCCAAATTAACAGGAGCTGGTGGTGGAGGCTGCGTTCTGACTCTGCTGCCTACCTGTATCCTTCTCACTCGTTATCTTGTTTGTCTAATGCTTCTGACGTTCGCTGCTCTATTTCGGTTTCTCATTTGTGAGCATAAACATGTTATGAAGTATGTTCATAGTCATATCTAAGTGCGTAGATACAAGTATTAACACGCACAATCATATACGTGCACAATACAAAGAAGATCACCTACTGGAAACAGTGAAGACTGATGATCTCAAGGACTTTTCGGCGACAACCATCAGTTCCCTTTCAATTTTCCCTTAATCAATTTTCCTATCAATTTGAAACGAGTGCTGGTTTGACCTATTAAGTGAGCCTTATACACCCTCGCATTCTCCAAATTGACAGGAAGGAGCGAAAATTGAGGGATCCGATTTCAAAGTTCAAATGAATCTTCATTTTATCTTTTTCGCATCCCTTGAGCACTTGGCCAAGCTACGTTTTACTTCTGAATTTTACAATACTGACTTGCTTTTTTGGCCTTTTTGCTTCTTTGCTGCTCATGCATAAAATTTTATGGCTGGGAGAAAAAGTCTTCGATGATTAACGCATTGAAAGTGAGGGAAAATTATTTGATTGCATCTATAAGAGAAACTTTTAGCCGGGTTTTTGTGGTGGGTAGATGTATTATGCATAAACGAGCAAGGAGCTTTTGTTTATTTTATCATCCCCATCTGTTATTGATTTCTTCTTGCTGCATGAGTTAATTGCGTGGAATTGTCTTGATGTGCATTCTGTTCAGAAACCTATGTTTCTCACGTGTTATCTTCCTTGACAAGTCATCAATAGTGCTTTCAGGAACTGTTGTTGAGAAAGTAATGTCTGAACTGGAGTCTTGCGGGCTCCAATGTTTCACTGCCGGAATAGGCGGGAAAGGTGTTGAAATTTCCTATGGGGTTCCATCCTGATTCCTTTTTGTTTCCAGGCAGCGATTTGACATCAGTTATCAATTGATCTTTCAAATAAATAGCATGAAATTATGTGCTTCTTTGTACCTTCATGTGCCTCGGCTTGTAGTTCATTGTTTTTTGTCTTGTTTCCGTTCTCTACAGATTTTCGTTGCGACTAGTGCTCTGTCACTATCTTATAAGCAGTTGGTGGATAGTCGGTGTTTCCCAATTTCGTCAAGTCCACTTTCTAAAGATTTTTAGGCCGCGCATCTTTAAAGTTTGTAATTCTACCACTGTCCCCAGATCCTTGTATCGTTAACCTTGTGAGTAGATATTGGCCGAAAAAGATAAAAAAACAGTGAAATCTCATTAGTTCTCGTCATCCCCTTCCTCCATGGCCTATAATACTCCCTCAATCGATCGAAGATTACTTAAATATAAAAACCTAACATAATGAGGCCACAAACTAGACCTCAACTTCCACATTTTCTCATGGATATATATCCTCATCTTATTTACTTGTCTTAGAATTTTCATGTTATTTTTAAATAAATAATTTGTTTTAAATTTCAAAATGTAATTATTACTTGGAGTGCAGAGAGTATTAAGTATTAAACAGAGGTAGTTAAGATTTAAAGTAGTATGGTATTAAATAAAATATAAAGGTTAATATAATTTTTAGTCCCTCAAATTTGTCTTCATTTTGATTTTGATCTTCTTAAATTTGAAATCATAATTGTTGATCTCTTAATAGGTAAAATGATCTAGATTTTTATTGGATTATAAGTATCAATATTTTAAAAGAAAAGAAACTTAATTCAAGATACAATTATTACTTTATTACTTTGAGTGCAGGGTACATTAAGTATGAAATAGGGAGAGTTAAGATTTAAAGTAGTATGGTATTAACAAGAGTTTAGTTTTGGTGTCTCAAATTTTAAAGTATTAATTTTAGTCTCTCCAATTTCAAACTATAAATTTTGACCATTCAAAATTGTATTAACCTATTAAAAACTCCGAAAATTATTTGAGTACCACAAAAGTTTTATTTCATTTATTGATATCTGTATCATCTGCACGTATACAACGTACTTCCACGATCTTGCAGAACTTTATGTATAACTCAGTTTCTTCACGGTTCAACGTTCAAAAGAAAATTTGTCTCAAGTACCTTGGAGCCTAGCTAATTAATATATGTATATGGTGATCCCACATTATAGGAAAAACATCCGCGTAAAGCAAAGCACCACAACAAAGTCTTGGATCGCCAGTATCAGCCATACTTCAAGCATTCACAATGGTTCCACCTGCAATACATGAAGCGATGTTAGAACATGAATCACAGGACAGTGATGTTTAGAAGCAGAAAGTAGAAGCAGAATACCATTGGGGTGGAGGACTTGGCCGGTGATGTAAGAAGAGCAATGGTTGCAAGCGAGGAACACGTAAGAGGGAGCCACCTCAATTGGCTGACCAGCCCTCTTCATGGGCACCTCCTCCCCAAACTGTCTGGTTTCATCCTCCTTGAATGACGCCGGTATCAATGGAGTCCATATGGGCCCAGGCGCCACTCCGTTCACTCTTATTTTCCTGCTCACCAACTCAAGCGACAGTCCCCTTGTGAACGCTACTATCGCACCCTTCGTGGCTGTATAATCCAGCAGCTTCGCATTTCCTTTGTACGCTGTCACTGATGTGGTGTTGATGATACAGCTTCCCTCCTTCATGTGCTTCAACGCATGCCTACACCCAAAAATTCTCGATTCAATTCTTTCAGAACAATTAACTGAAATTAGATATAATATATATATATATATATATATATATAACATTCCACGTGACATGACCTGGCCATGAAGAAGTAGGCGAAGATATTGATTCTAAACACCCTCTCCAGCCTCTTCTCATCGATTTCTTCCACTGATCCGGCCTCGTACTGCTCCGCCGCATTGTTGATCAAGATGTCGATCCTGCCATGCCTGTTCACAACGTCGTCCACAACTTTCTTGCAATTCTCATCGTAACCCAAGTCAGCCGGAATGGCCATAGGCTCCTTGGCGTCCGAAGTCTTAGCTTTGTTGATCATTTCAAGCGTGTCCTTTGCGTCCTTGTCCTCCTGTCCCTTCACATACGTGAAGGCCACAGTGGCTCCTTCTAAGGCAAACAAGTTGCACACGGCTCTTCCTATCCCGGAGTCACCGCCGGTAATCAGAGCTATCTTCCCCTGAGAACCAACATATATAACCAATTAGCGTTACCTGCTCCAGGAGAAATTCCTACAAATTTGCGATTCTCAAGAAATATGCATGCATAGAGACAGATACTTCAAGCTTGTTAGATGGCTTGTAATCGGGGCTTGTGAACTGAGGCACAGGCTCCATGGCATGTTCTTTTCCAGGCTGGGTTTCTTGCTTTTGTGGGGGGAATTTCTGTCCACCGGAAGCCATTCTGACGCACCGGCGTTTGGGAACAGAGGGGGGGATCTTCCGGGATGAGGGAGATGCAGCAGGAAAGCGGGTTTTCAACCTGGTTTCGGAGAAAGGAAGGAGAAGAACTCTGACAGCTAGAGATCTTGAAGAAGAGAAAGGGCGAGGAAAGACGTAAATGCAGGTGAAGAGTGGGGCGGATGCCACTGCAAGCGCAAGCCCCCGCCGATCGAACGACTTATGAAGTGGATTTGAGAAATGCCACGTGGCGATACGTGGCGGAAGGAGGCGTCCAGGTGTCGCCTTGATCGCATGCAGAAGAGACGTCGCTCCAAAGGAGTAGTGTCGACCAACTTTTGCACCGAACCCGCTAAATGTCAGATGGTTGCCTTTGTCCCCTCCAATCACGATCTGGAAACCTTCTCCTGACCATGATGATACGGAAATTACATCAGATTCCTAATAAAAGAGTTACTTCCGTTTCTCGTGATAATTGTGTTTTTCGCCTAAATTTTGTTTGATGTTAGTGCTATTTTTTTCATGACATGCCAGACAAAACTGATCGGATTCGTTCTCATTCTCAAATCTCAATTTCGTTTCCTTGAAATTCAATCTTTCTTAACAAGCATGACAAAGGACGAAGAAAACCAATAACAGTCCCTTCGCAATCAGAAGATCGGTAACATATTTCTAGTTTCTAACAATTATATGCTCTTTCTAGATTGCCTCCACTCGTTGACTTTTATTTCTAAATATAAAATCCTAAACAATTTTATCTCTAATATTTATCTATTTTTTTCATGCTAGTATTTATAATAATGATAGTTTTAACTTGGCAAGAATATTTTAAAAAATTCAACACCTAATTATTATAAATAATTAGCTTAACTTATTTTCTTAATATATTCAAATTAGTCAACTAATTCTTATATTAAATACCCGAGTTAGTATTATATATAAAAAGGTTAAAGTATGCCCAATACCCCGAACTATTTTTTTAGGTGCGTCTAATATCCTAAAATAATTTTTGGTGTACCCAGTATCATAAACTAATTAAAACGGTATATCAATATTCCATGCCAACAGAATCATTTTGTTTGACCATTAGTCCCATGAGTCAGCTCAATGTTGACCCCCTTTCTCTCTCCTCATTCCCGAAGTTGACCCTTCGAGATTCCATGACTACCATCTTCTCCATACTCCAACGCTCCTCCTCTTATACCGCAACATTGACTTCCATTTCATCTCTGTCACCTGCAGGCCTTCCTCCTTCTCCATCCTCAACCACACTCTCTCCACTTCCTTCCCTTGCCTTTGTTTTCGAATCTACCCCTTCAATCCTACCTCCGTCTCCAGTCTCATCTCCTCCTCCATACACTCTGCAATGGACTGCCCTCTCAACTACATCGCAAAGCCATCTACCTCGACTCAGACTTGGTCCTCATTGATGACATCATCAAGCTCATCGCAACGCCCCTCGGCTTTGGTTCGGTCCTCCTCACCACGTCGAAATACTGCAACACTAATTTTACCTATTACTTCACACCATCGTTCTGGTGGAACCCGTCTCTGTCGCTCATGTTTGTTGGTCAGAGGGCTTGTTATTTCGACACGGGCGTGATGGTAATCGATTTGGAGCAATGGCGGGAGGGGGATTACACGAGGAAGATTGAGTGGATGGAGTTGCAGAAAAGTATGATCTACGAGCTGGGATTATTGCCACCATGTTCGCGATAAACATGGTTCTGGTATAACGGATTGAGAATGAAGATAGAGAGGGGGTCAACTTTGAGCTTGGTCATGGGTTAACAGTCAAACAAGACATTTCTATTAATTCGGGATATGAGTCCATCGTTTTAATTATTTTAGAATACTGGGTGAATTAAAAATTATTTTAGAATACTGGATACATAAAAAAAAATAGTATGTGATGCTAAGTGTACTTTAACGTTATATGAGACTCATTTCAACTTAGAACGTAGCATTTATATTGCAATGTATCACAAAAAGATACTTCGGTCAATTTATCTAAAAATATTCAAAAAAAAGAGAACCCAATCAAGGTAATTTTTGAGAATATAATAATAATAGCATCACTTTTAGGGGGGGAAAAAATACAACTGTCGATTAATTTTAACTCTTCACCTTATTGATTCAGCAGGTCCAAGGACTAGATGAAGTAACAATTAATATCTTTCCCCTCAAGATTCCTTTTTTTGGGAATAAAAACTAAATACTGTTTAATAGAAAGCAACGCAAAAAAAAAAAGAAAAAGAAAAATCTCTCCCAAGATTTAAGATCGCGGTCCCAGTAATTAGTAACAGTTTAAGAGGGACATTTTCTGGGTTGGCCTTGTATCGATGCAAATTTGCGCTGTTTACGAGGGGAAGCTTCCTCTCATTCTTTTCTATCCTTTCTTTTCTCTTCGTTATTATCGTTGGATCGAAGTTTTAAGTTTTAGCATTTTATAAATTATAATTTTACATAAAAATATATCATTAAGTTTAAATGGTTGAAATTTAATTTAAATAATTCTCGATCTTATAAAATAAATTTAAATTGTAATATTTAAATTTAACTTGAACGATTTATCATTTAATTTTTTGTAAATTGTATAGAGTAAATTTTAACAATTTGCAATACATTTTTTCCCCAAACGTTAGAGGAAAAAGAAAAGTCCTTTCAAATCAGTCATCACAATATTATTATTTACAAAATTTTATCTAAGAAAGCTAATTCATTAAGTCTGTTTTAAAATGTAATTTTTTTTAGTTTTATTAATTCGGCATAGCCAACAGTGTTACTCTTCTAATCCTATTTATAAGTCACTTCTAATATGTTTTACACAGATAAAAAAATTAAATTTTATTAATTTTCATTTAAAATTTAAAAACTTTTTAATTTTATTTCTATTTAATATATTATGTTTTATATAAATAAAATCAATATAATAAAAAATAAAAAATAAAATTTAGATATCTATATAAAAGTTTTTTAAAAATACCCCGTAAATACAACTCAAAAAACTCTTCTGTCTTGTAATGGAACGAAAATGCTATAAAACCCTAACATATTTAGGAGGCTGTCTGGTAAAAAGGAACGGTCCCATTGCATTAATTGCTGACATATTTTGCTTCTCTTCCAACGCTGGCCCTTTCATGGGCATGGGCACTGTCAAAAGACTACTACGTGTCTACGCATCGTTACTCTGTAATTCTATTGAACTGGAAAGTCTTGACCTCACTATCACCTTTTTTCTTAAGCTTTGTTAGTCTTATTCATAACATAAAAAGTTAGCGTTATTATTATATTATAATATATCGCGAAACGTGGGCAGTTACCCCTTGCTTCCTTATAAATTCGATTGATGTGCGCTCCCGCCTTTCTGCCTGCCTGTGCTGCAACACAGAAAGAGGACGCGCTGCGGCATTCTTTGTCTGGGGTCTACCTTCTTTTTTCTCTCGTACTTTCGATGGATGCTCACTCCCCTTCCTGGTCTGGCCTTCGCACTGACTTGCTCCTTAGCATGGCAAATCGCCTTGATTCTCGCATTGATCGTCTCTGCTTCCGTGTCATTTGCTATCCATGGCGCTCTGTTCTCCCTCCACCGTCCCGGGGGTCCGCTTCTCCCTCTCCACCTCTCAAGCTTCCCTTCCCAATGGGTCCCAACCTTCATCTGAATCCCATACGTCGTGGTTACTTCAACCTGACTCACTCCACTGTCTACTGCCTTCAATCCCTCAAGAGAATTTCAGACGCTTCGAAGACTACCGAGTGCTGGTTCATCAAGGTTGAGGAGACCAAAGAGCCTGGCAACTTTTGCCTCACGGATCCTCTCTCTTGGTTTGATTCTAAGAATCTGTTTCCACCTTTTCATAAAACATTGAGGGGTGTTTGGAAGCATCAAAAGTATTTTTTCGTAAAATGAGACAAACTTCTTCACATATTTATTTTGTACACTGTAAAAATACTTTTAAAATCATGATTTTAATTCCATCTAAACACCTCTTGAATCTACTTGATTATAGGGTTTCTGAGATAACTAAGGTTTATGATCTTCAATTTGTGGGAAATAATAAAATACCTGAACTAGACCTTCCTGAGAGTTTTTCTGTCCGCGCTATGAGAGTAGCTGTGTGTTCTGAGTGTCCTGCTTCTGCCGTTATGGCCATTCACACTGCTGGCCAATTGAGTATTTGGAGAAAGGGTGATAAGAAGTGGATTTGTATAAGCGATGGCGGAGACGGCACTTGTTATGATGACGTTGCTTACCACAATGGAAAATTTTATGCTGTGGATACCGACGGCTTAACTATTTCAATAGATGTGTCATTGAATACTGCACAAGTTGTCCCAGCAAATGCCTCGTTCTGGTTCTAATAGATATGTTCCTCTCCAAAAGTACTTGCTGAGTTCTCTTGACGATTTATTCCTCCTAGATAGGCACTTCGATTCTGAGCATAGAGTTCCTGCGGGTCTTGATTATGATTCCGACAAGGATATTCTCCCCACTTATTTTCATGTTTATAAGTTGATTGAGGATAAACGCAAATGGGTTCCGGTGAAAAGCTTAGGAGATAGAGCTATATTTGTTGGTGAGGATTGCGCTTTCTCTGTCTCAGCTCAAGAATTTCGTGGATGCAAGAAGAATTGCATTTACTTTAACGAACGTGACTTCTTGTGTGGTGATCTTCGTCAACATTGTCCGGGCGGTGCTGCTGCATTGTTTGACATGGGGGAACGTTCTGCTAAGATGCTTTCCGGAGTATCTATCTATTCTGGACTTTTCTGGCCTCCGTCCTGTTGGTACGTTTATTGCTAAGATGCTCCACTTTTGTAACGCTTTGAATTTGAGACTTGCAATTATACGAGTCTGCGTGGGTGTGTCTGACCCAATTGTTTATGTTGTCTTTTCCATGAATATTGGAAATGATTATACTCTACTTGTTTCTTGAATGGGTTGCAGAGGTGAGGAAGCTCTTGTGATTGTTTGGCATTTTGGAAGACGCTGAATGGGTTGC